ACCGCATGCGGCGCGACCCAGCCTTTCGCGACAAATATGTCGAGTTCATGCGCGAGTATCAGGAGCTGGGTCACATGTCACCGTCCAACTTCGAATGGCGTTCACAGGAGCACTACTTCCTCCCTCACCATGCGGTCTTGAGGACCCCTGAGAGTAAGATTCGGGTAGTTTTTGACGGTTCCGCCCCCACATCAAACGGTGTGTCTCTGAACCAGTGTCTTCACTCGGGTCCCAAACTGATCAAGGACATATCCGACATCTTGACCCAATTCCGTCGACACCAAGTGGTTTTTGTCGCGGACATTCGGATGATGTTTCGCCAATCAGTGGTCCATCGTGATGACCGCCGATATCAGCTGATATTGTGGCGCGAGAAGCCCAGCGATCCTATACAGGTATTTGAGTTGAACACCACCACATATGGACTCCGGTCCAGCCCGTATATCGCCATGCGAACCCTCCTTGAACTCGCTGAGAGAGAGCGCCTGAGATACGCTCGGGGAGCTTCTATTTTGGAGACTTCGATCTACATGGACGACATTTGTACGGGCGCTTCCACCGTCGAGGAGGCTCTGGTCTTGCGAGACGACTTAATTGCCATCCTGAAGTCTGGAGGCTATGAGTTGCGCAAGTGGTTGTCGAACTCCCCTCATATTTTGAAGGACCTCCCAGGAGAGGATCAACAAGACCCTCATCTGTTCGAGCACCCTGAGAATCCTAATTTGTTGACTGTGCTGGGCATTCAATACCAGCCTGTTCAGGACACCTTTACGTATAGAGTAAAACTTGACCCACCGCCCAAAGCATGGACCAAACGCTTCGTGCTGTCCACCGTAGCCCGCACCTTCGACCCTAATGGGTGGATCACCCCGGTCATTTTTTTAGCTAAGTGCTTTCTTCAAAAGCTCTGGATGTCCGGGTTGGGTTGGGACGAGCCGATTGGCGGAGCCCTCTTGCGAGAGTGGCTCTCCATGCTCTCCTCCCTTCCTGATATCAACCGGGTTTCCATGCCAAGGTGCTTCCTTCCCCCCGGGAAATGTCGGGCTACCCTACATGGGTTTTGCGACGCCTCTGAGAAGGGCTATGCTGCTGTCGTATATTTGCGGAAGGTGAGTTCCTCTGGTCATACTGCCATCCATCTCGTACTCGCTAAAAGCAAGGTTGCTCCCATTAGGTCCCGCTTAACTATCCCTAAATTGGTGATAGTGCCGCTCTCCTCACGCGACTCCTCAACCACGTTCACTCTTCCTTGAAGCCTGTAATCGACATTACGGGCGTCTACGCATGGTCGGACAGCGAGATAGTACTTTGTTGGCTCCGAACAGTACAGCGGACTGCGCTTCTCGCGGCTGTGAGGCCCCATCGCTGGTTGACCACCCACTGTAGTGGGGTCCCGGTTGGTTGTCTGGGTCTCAGTCATTCTGGCCCCCGGGCAATTACTCCGAACCTACCGAATTGCCGGGCCTACGAGCCCGAGTAGGAGTGGGCAAGGATAAGCCCACTCGGGATCTCTCTCTTCTGGAACGGTACAGCTCCCTCGATAAGCTCTTGGGAGTTACTGCTTGGTTGCGCCGCTTTGTCCGCAATTCGAGATACCCATCCCACCGACTCTCTGATAGCGTTTTGTCCCCTAGCGAGCGCCGTGAAGCTTTGATGCACTGGACCCGTATGGTCCAAACGGAGCAATTTGAGCCCGTCATTGAAAACTTGAAGCGTGGCTCCGTTATCAAGGGCGCCCTGGTCCGCCTGAACCTCTTTCTGGATAACGCGGGGATGCTGCGCGTTGGCGGACGTTTAAAAAATTCTCAACTGCCGTACGGGGCTCGACACCCGTTGCTGCTCCCTAAGGACGGCGCCCTGGTCCGATTGCTGGTAGCCCACCACCTTGTTAAGAATGCCCACGCTGGGTGCAACGCTCTTTCGGCTATTTTACAGCGGGAGTTTTGGATTTTGACTGGCCGACGTATCATCCGGAGCGTCATCTTTAATTGCATATCCTGTTATAAACTGAAGGCCACCATATCGCAGCCCCTCATGGGTGACTTGCCGCCCGACCGCGTCAGGGCCATCCGACCATTTGCTGGAGTCGGAACCGACTTTGCTGGCCCCTTCCTCGTCAAGTCCTCTAACCTTCGTAACGCCCGTTCGCATAAGGCCTATCTTTGCGTCTTCTTGTGCCTCTCCACTAAAGCCGTTCACTTGGAACTTGTAAGCGCCCTCAGCACGGAAGCCTTCTTGGCCACGCTTGGCCGTTTCGTATCGCGGCGCGGGTTGCCGGACTTGATCCGGTCGGATTGCGGAACGAATTATAAGGGCACGGATAGGTATCTAAAGGAGGTCTTCGAGTTTCTGTCTAGCCACCGGACTTATTTAGGCAATGCTATGTCAAAAAGGGGCATCCAGTGGAAATTCGACCCTCCGGCGTGTCCCCACTGGGGCGGTATTTTCGAGGCGGTGGTTAAAGTGGCAAAAACGCATCTCCGTCGCGTTATTGGTGAAGCTATTTTGACATTTGAGGAGCTCGCCACTGTATTCTGTAAAATTGAGGCGGTACTCAACTCTCGGCCCCTCTGTCCCCTCTCCTCCGACCCGAATGATTTGGAAGTTCTAACCCCGGGACACTTCCTGATTGGCCAGCCTCTTAACGCTCTGCCCGAGTACCCCTTCAGGGAAACGAGCGCTTCACGGCTTAGCAGGTTTGCCCTGCTGCAACAGATGACTCAAAGCTTTTGGCACCGATGGTCTCTGGAGTACCTACATCTTTTGCAGCAGCGCGTTAAGTGGTCTGACAAGACGGAGCCTCCTCGGGTGGGAGACCTCGTGTTGATTAAAGAACCAAACGCTCTACCTTTGTATTGGCGCCGTGGGCGTATTGTTAAGTTGTCGTATGGAGCGGATGGGGTGCCTAGAGTGGCCGAGGTTTTCGTCAGAGATTCGGTCTTGCAACGTGCCGTCGCGAACTTGTCCCGTTTGCCAATCTACTCGCGGACCTAATGCCTTATGTTCGGGGCGGGGGTTTGTTTAGGCAAGAATTTTACCTTCGAAACGTATTCTTTAACGCGCGCGCTTGGCCTCGATATCGAGGTCACCTTCCCCTCCCCCGGCCGCCTGACGCGGCGGGATCGGACTTCTCGAGATTCATTGTAGAATTTCTTGCGAGCTATACTGACGTTTTCCGCGCCTAACTTGTTATGAAAGTATCAAACCGCGTAAATCGTTGTGAGAACCGTATCGTTCATTAGGACCTACTAACTCTGTTAAATTAATTGTGCAACTATAATAGTGATTTACCTCTGAAGTACTACGTGTAGCTGTCCCATTTCGTGACAAACCAGGAAGAGCGCCTCCAGAGGGGGAAAGTTCCGAGGATACCAGCGCATACCTTCTCCCGGACGGCATTGCGTCATCCAGATCAGGCCGTCAACATACACACATACACTCACGACACTGTCATCAGCCGGGCCGGTCTAGGAGAATCGTCTCCGCTCCTGGAGCAGGTGAGTGCCTTTATCGTAGTGACCTTTCCCCTCGTTTGTTTCTATTAGAAATTTCCACTTTGGCCAAAAGCCCGACCTGTATCTGCCTGTAGGATCTTCCTACTATGGGCCTAGGTGGATACTACCATTAGCTATGCAGCTGCGGGCCGTAACAAAAAGTTACTTGTGAGTGTTTGGTGGACTAACGCCGGTGTCGTTCACTATAGCTTTTTAAAATCTGGCCAAACGATTACGGCAGATATCAATTGTCAGCAACTACAAACCATGAAGGAAGAACTAGCGGCTAAACAACCGAGATTGGTCAATCGCTCTAGGCCACTGCTGCTTCACAACAACGCAAGACCACATACTGCACAACAAACAACCACTAAGTTAGATGAGCTACAATTGGAATGTCTACGACATTCACCGTACTCCCCGGACCTTCTTCCAATAGATTTTTTCCGGAGTTTGGACAACTTCTTGCAAGGAAAAAAATTCAACTCCGATGCGGCAGTCCAAACCGCCTTCAAAGAGTTTATTGATTCTCGCCCCCATAGTTTTTTAGTAAAGGAATCAATGAACTACCTATGAGATGGCAAAAGTGCATAGATAACAACGGTGCATACTTTGATTAATTAAATATATTTTACAAAAAAAAATTAACTTTATATTCCTCCCGTACAAAACGTCAATTTCATATGTAAGGACCTAATAATATAGAGCTATAAGTATTTTTTTGTTTAAAGAAAAAGTTATCTGATGATTATCTCTCACATTGTTTTAAAGTAAGGTTTAAAACAATGTGAGAGATAATGATGCTATACACAATTTCGAAGAAAGCACTATAATACCTTTAACTAAGAGAATATCCGGGCTGCTAAAAATTTAAAGAATACGTTTTAATAAAATATTGTTGTCGTACTGTGCCCATACGACCTAATGTGGGGTTTACACGGGTGACTAATGCCGCGCGATTTTTACCGCGCCGCTCGTCCTCTTCTTCTTCCCTCCTCTTTGTTCTTCAATCAATTCTTGAATAATTGAATAACTTTTAATTCCGACACGAACACCTATTCTGCTCAACATTTTTGAAGGAAATGACCAAGCCGCATGCGATTTTAGTCACTTGTGTAAACGGGCTAGCGATGCCCCTTAGTGAGGCGACTCGTGAAGCGACTATCCGCACGGTGAAAATCAATCTGTGTAAATCCCTCTTAACTAAGCAACCGAGGGAGACAAATGCATATTGGACTGGTCACTTCAATGAAAACTTGACGAATTCATACCGTATCCCCTTTTTTCCACCTCCATAACTAGATCGATTTTTCAAGGACAGTGTAAGAAAGATTGTGGTAATATACGTATGTTTTATTTTTATGTTAGTTTTATTCGTTTCGTCATTATCAAGGGAGAAAATAGAAGAAAACCTTTGTATGGACTAAACGCTGCCCGGATATTCTCTTAAAGTGTATAATAATTTAAGTAATAAGTAAAAGAGAACAAGATTTTCATGCTTAGTACTTTTGAAGTCCAATTCCCAGATTGACGAACTCGTCTAGTCTCCCGCTAATTGTACAGCAGTCAACAACATTCAAGCGCTTTGCCGTGTCTAGCATAATCTGAAATTTTAATTTTGATAAGATCAATTAATTTAGCATTATTTTCAAAACATCAGTTAATTTAATTCTGAATTAATTTCTTATTAATTCTAGTATATACACTAAGCTAAAAGAAGTTCCACTTCAAATATTAGCAACTAATTTCCAGCAGTTTGATATTGCATTTTTTTGAAATATTTTATTTTATAGAGAAAATGTAATAAATCCTTTTTACTTCAATGCACTGTGATTTCGATTATTTCACTTTTGTTAACTTATTGGCACACCTATTTACCTAATGATACATACTATAAACTATAAAGTAATTGAAATTACCCTTCTGAATGACCTATCAATATCATCAAACTTCTTAGCCTCGTCGGGCAGCTGGGAGCGAATGTCGCCACCAACAAAAATGCCCTCCAGATAGAGCCACTTGCGCTGTGTTGCCAGCCATTCCTCTATCACTTCCGATATAAGGGATAAGCGACGTTCCCAAGTTTGCACCACCGACAAGAATGGGCCAATAAACCTAGAAAAAAGGCGTTGATTAGACGTTTGAGTATTTACTTTTTATATTACATTATACAAAATTGAAAACTATTGGAAAATTACTTGTTGTTATAAATGTATGTGGAATAATGGAAGGTGGAGGATGGTAATGAAGTTTGACATCCAAGGCGATTGATCTTCTGGACATGGAACTCTCCTTCAGTAGTGAGAATTTACGAAAACTGCCACACTTGGCAGTCGCATTAACAGACATCTTGCACCTGAGTGGAAATTTTTTGTCCTTGCGGCACTTTTGGTACGAAGTCGGGTAGATTCTTACGTTGCCACTAATGTCTCTACCTAGTCAGGTCATAAATTCTGTTACATGTTTTATATAAAATAATTGAAACAAGTTTATTCATTATGTAACCATTTATATACCAAAATGAACTTAATAAAACATAGATTCTTATAACACTAAAGTTTATTCAAAATGACCTCCGTGATTTTGAATACAGGCCTTCAATCTGCGCGGCCAGTCGTCTATCGCAGCACGAACGAGGTGCATGTCAATATCGGCGGCTGCCTTAATCAAGGATGTCTTGAGTGACTCCAAATTGGGATGAGGCTTTGAGCACGCCTTTTTCTCCAAGTGTTGCCATATCTTGTAATCTAACGGATTCAAATCTGGACTGGACGAGGGCCAGTCTTCGTGCCGGATGAAGTCGATTTCACGCGCCGCCAGCCAGTCTTGTGTGCTCTTCGCTCTATGAGCTGGCGCCGAATCTTGTTGGAATACCCAGTGTCTGTTATTGAACATGGTATGAGAAACAGGTTCCACAAGGTTCGTCAGGACTGTATTTTGATACACAACTGCATTCGTTTTTACACCTTTCTCACAAAAATGTACCTCTGTTAAGCCCCAATAAGAAACTCCCAACCATACCATGAGTGAGGATGGAAAATGACCTCGTTGGACACGCGGAATACGGTTGCTCGCTTCTTCACTACTGTGTGCGTACACCTTATCATTTTGTTTGTTGTAGCTCTCTTCTACGGTAAAAATTTTTTCATCCGAAAAAAGAATTTCCCGATATTTTTTTCCCGCGTACCGCTTCAACAAAGCGCGGCATCTCTTCAGTCTCAGGTCCATTAGACGAGCATTCAAACGATGTCCTGTTTTTCTTCGATATGCCCGAAGCCCTAAGTCTTCATTTAACACCCTTTTCACCGTGGTTCTGCTTAAACCCATCTGAAGGTCCAACAGTTCCTCCTTACGTTTGGGATTTCTTTGAATTTGCGCCTTCACAGCTTTTATCACTGCTGGAGTCCTAACAGACCGAGGGCGACCACTCCTTGACCTGTCATCTACACTAGAGTCTTCATTGTATCGTTTGATGTTACGATAAACGAATCTTTTGGTTATATTCAAATTATTCAGTATGTCAAAAATTTGAATTGGCGCGTAACCGCAACGATGCAACGCAATAACTGCAACACGGTCTTCTTTAAGCGTCCACTCCATATTTAAAAATGAGTAAAATTCTAAAAAGTATACAGTTTTATTTTCATGAACAATTCGAAATTCAAATTCAATAAACTTTTTTGTAGCCAGCATTCTAAAAGAAAAGTTTTTACTGTGTGACAATACTTATGAGCTGACTAGGTATATTGCCTGCAAATCTAAAGTAGGAAGTCATTGACAAATTGACAAATGTACGACTAGACAATAATTGTAATAGTAATATATATGCAATAGCCGGACACCGTGAACCTATATATAGATATATATATATATAGTATATACTGACTGCGAGGCGGCCATGCCCTGCAGCGCCATGGCGTCGTCGTCGAGGCGCGCCAGCACGTCGTCGCAGGCGTCGAGCGTGAAGCCGCGCTCCTCGCCGCGCGCGCTGTGCCGGACACCGTGAACGTATATATAGATATATGTAGTATATACTGACTGCGAGGCGGCCATGCCCTGCAGCGCCATGGCGTCGTCGTCGAGGCGCGCCAGCACGTCGTCGCAGGCGTCGAGCGTGAAGCCGCGCTCCTCGCCGCGCGCGCTGTGCCGGACACCGTGAACGTATATATAGATATATGTAGTATATACTGACTGCGAGGCGGCCATGCCCTGCAGCGCCATGGCGTCGTCGTCGAGGCGCGCCAGCACGTCGTCGCAGGCGTCGAGCGTGAAGCCGCGCTCCTCGCCGCGCGCGCTGTGCCGGACACCGTGAACGTATATATAGATATATGTAGTATATACTGACTGCGAGGCGGCCATGCCCTGCAGCGCCATGGCGTCGTCGTCGAGGCGCGCCAGCACGTCGTCGCAGGCGTCGAGCGTGAAGCCGCGCTCCTCGCCGCGCGCGCTGTGCCGGACACCGTGAACGTATATATAGATATATGTAGTATATACTGACTGCGAGGCGGCCATGCCCTGCAGCGCCATGGCGTCGTCGTCGAGGCGCGCCAGCACGTCGTCGCAGGCGTCGAGCGTGAAGCCGCGCTCCTCGCCGCGCGCGCTGTGCCGGACACCGTGAACGTATATATAGATATATGTAGTATATACTGACTGCGAGGCGGCCATGCCCTGCAGCGCCATGGCGTCGTCGTCGAGGCGCGCCAGCACGTCGTCGCAGGCGTCGAGCGTGAAGCCGCGCTCCTCTCCGCGCGCGCTGTGCCGCGACACTGTGAAGGCCACCGCGGCCCACGTCTCCTGCACATCCCTCACGCCCCGCTCGATCGCCAACTCCTGCCGTAGTCGACACGCTTTTACTTAACTTCACCTGTTAGTCTGAGAGCTGGCGACGAATTTTCGGAAGGTCCTTTTGGCAAGTTAAAATTGCAAAAAAATATCTGTACCAAATCACTGTGAAAAAAAAAAACGTGCAACTTGTTATTTTTCCACCTTTATCTCTGAGTGGTAAGGCACTTTATACATATTGTCCTTTTTTAAGAACTTAAGTTTCAACAGTGGTAGAGCCAAGCGGTAGCTTATGCTGTCGCACGGATGGGCCAGCTCGAACCGGGGTGGTACCACGACCTCACAGAATACCAGCGTGAAGTAGAGGTTTACCTCTGCGTTGCGCTTGGTGAGTGCAGGTGGCCGGAGGCCCAATTCCCCCCCCCCCCTCCCCCCCAATCAACATGGTATTGGAATTAAATAAGAGACTACCCCAGGAGGGTACCAGCACCCCTGGAGAATCCCTCGCTGAGCATCCACGACCAAACTACTTCACTCCTGAGCGTGGGTGCTCAGGCTGCCCCGCGTATTCTGGGGGGGGCAAAATTCCGCTCGCGACTAATGCTGCTCGGGGCAAGCGGAGCAATACAACCAAGGCGAACCCTGTCACGCTATCCGTGAATTTTTGCAACATCAGGGGACTTCATTCCAACCTTAACGCTGTCCATTACCATCTAGAGACGGCGAAGCCGGCCTTGCTCTTTTTAACCGAGACTCAGGTGTCCTCTCCGGCTGATACTTCATATCTCTCCTACCCGGGATACAAATTGGAACACTCCTTTGTGCCCCGGGCTGGAGTTTGTGTATACGTCAGAGAGGACATCTGTTTTCGACGCCTCGGCAGCCTTGAAGGTACGGACCTGTCCATCCTATGGCTGCGCGTAGACAGCGACGACCATCCCCGCGTCTACGGGTGCCTCTATAGGTCCCATAGCGGTAATGCCGACACAGACCGACTCATCGACCACGTCCAAATGGTTGCAGACTCCGTGCTACAACAGGTCCCATCCGCAGAGATCGTGATACTCGGTGATTTCAACGCCCACCACGCTGAATGGCTTGGTTCTCGTTTAACCGATCATGCGGGTAGATCTGTCTACGACTTTGCTTTGGCATATGGTCTAACACAACTGGTTACTTTGCCTACGCGGATCCCAGATGTGGAAGACCATGTACCTTCCCTGTTGGACCTTCTGCTGACCTCTCATCCGGACGGATATCAGGTCTCCGTCGATGCCCCTCTGGGCTCTTCGGACCACTGTCTGATCCGGAGCACGGTGCCACTCACGCTCCAATCGCAGTTGTGATCTGCAGCTTGCCGCCGTGTTTGGCACTATAGGTCAGCTGATTGGGACGGGATGCGGTCTTTTTTTGCATCCTACCCTTGGGGGCGGGTTTGCTTCTCGCCGGAAGATCCCAGCGTTGTTGCCGATTCTGTTGCTGATGTGGTACTTCAGGGTATGGAACTTTTTATTCCATCCTCTGTGGTGCCCATCGGAGGCAGATCCCAGCCATGGTTTGGTCGCGCCTGTAAAATAGCATCACGCTATAAGCAGGAGTGCTACCGGGCCTGCGCTGACGCATCAACGTCTCGGGATGTAAACACCAGCGCACCTAAAAAGAAGTATAATTCCGCCTCCAGGTCCTTCAAAAGCGTCATTGCCAAGGCAAGGTCTGAGCACATCGGCAGAATTGGCGAGAAGCTAGTTCGCCTTCCTTCGGGAACTCGTGCATTCTGGTCTCTCGCCAAGGCTGTCCAAGGGAACTTCTGTCAGCCATCCCTTCCATCTCTGCACAGAGAGGACGACTCACTGGCCCATGCCGCAAAAGAGAAAGCCGATCTGTTGTGCTCTCTTTTTGCGTCTAACTCGACTCTAGATGACGGGGGGAACGCACCGCCGACCATCCCGCGATGTGAGTGCTCCATGCCGTATGTGCGATTTACACAGCGCTCGGTTCGCAAAGCACTCTTCTCCCTGGACGTCAGCAAGTCGAGTGGGCCCGATGGAGTCCCTCCCATTGTGCTGAAGACGTGTGCTCCGGAGTTGGCACCGGTTTTAACGCGTCTTTTCCGGTACTCCTACTCCCAAGGCGTAGTCCCGAATTCATGGAAGACAGCTTTAGTCCACCCGATCCCTAAAAAAGGCGACCGCTCAGACCCGTCCAACTACAGGCCTATCGCCATCACCTCCTTATTCTCCAAAATAATGGAGTCCATTATAAACTGCCAGCTCATGAGGTACCTTGAGGATCACCAGCTGATCAGTGACCGTCAGTACGGTTTTCGTCGGGGTCGATCAGCAGGTGATCTTTTAGTTTACTTAACTCATAGATGGGCGGAGGCAGTAGAGTCCAAGGGGGAGGCATTGGCCGTTAGTTTGGACATAGCGAAGGCCTTCGATCGGGTCTGGCACAAGGCGCTTCTTTCGAAGCTTCCTTCCTATGGGCTTCCCGAGAAATTGTGCAAATGGATCACCAGTTTCCTTGCTGATCGGAGCATCAAGGTCGTAGTGGACGGTGCATGCTCTGATTTCAAGCCTATCAACGCTGGTGTTCCACAAGGCTGCGTGCTATCACCAACGCTGTTTCTCCTGCATATCAATGATATGTTGCTAACTGGTAGCATTCATTGCTATGCAGACGACAGCACTGGGGATGCCTTATATACCGGCCGTGCCAATATTTCTCGGGAAAACGTCTCCGAGTACCGGGACAAACTTGTGTCTGAAGTCGAGTCTTTGCTTAACAAAGTCTCGGATTGGGGCCGTACTAAATCTAGTCCAGTTCAATCCCCAGATGACACAAGTTTGCGCGTTTACCGCTAAAAAGAACCCCTTTGTCGTATCTCCTCAGTTTCAAGGCACTCCCCTTGCTGCCTCAGCCAGTATCGGAATCCTTGGCGTCGATATATCGAATAGCGTGCAGTTTCGTGGTCACTTGGAAGGGAAGGCCAAATTGGCCTCTAAAAAGCTTGGCGTGCTCAGCAGAGCGAGACAGTATTTCATGCCGGCACATCACTTGCAACTTTACAAAGCGCAAGTTCGGCCCCACATGGAATACTGTTCTCATCTCTGGGCCGGGGCACCCCAGTGCCAGCTCCTTCCACTTGACCGCATCCAGCGCAGAGCGATTCGAATCGTCGACGACCGAGTTCTTTCCGATCGGCTCGATACACTGGCACTGCGTAGAGATGTTGCATCTCTTTGCGTATTTTATCGCATCTATCACGGGGAGTGCTCTGAGGAATTGTTCGGACTAATTCCAGCCGCTCAGTTTCACTATCGTACATCGCAACAAAACTCGCGTTACCATCCATACCATCTGGATGATTGGCGGTCCACCACTGTGCGATTTAGAAGAAGTTTTCTCCCTCGCACAACTTCTTTGTGGAATCAATTACCACCAGCGAATTTTCCGAACCGATACGACTTAGGAACCTTCAAGAAAAGATCTTACACCTTTCTAAAAGGCCGGCAACGCATCTGCAATTCCTCTGGTGTTGCGGTTGTTCATGGGCGGCGGTAGTCACTTACCATCAGGTGAGCCGCATGCTCGTTTGCCCCCTATTCTATAAAAAAAAAAAGTAATTCTCAAAACATATTTTTCCAAGGTTACTATTAATACGAGGTTAAAATTAATAGCTATTATACAAATTATCACTAGCACTAATCTAAAATAAGTGAAACTATATACACAGATATTTACATGACCATATATGCGCATACATACATGCTAAATCCCAAAACAAGAAGTTATTTTTAAAATCTTTATAAAAGATATTTCTTAATAACCAATCACAACACGAGGAGCTTAGAGGCCCTTATGCGCTGTCGGCATGCTTCGATAAGCTATCTTTCTCCGCTAAATTTGTCTGGTGCCATCGATTACTCTTGTGTGTGGCGTATGACACGCTAGTCGTGTCTTTTTTTAAATCGTTATAACTCGTTCAAATAGCTTTTTTGGAAAATTTATCCAGAACAAAATATTCATTATTTTGCGAGTAGTTCATCCATGCAGCTTCGTTTCTGGATATTTTGAAAATTTGAAATTTTTAGGGTTTGGCAACCTTTTTTTTAACGTGTACATGGTACTATTTTTACTTTGTGGGTTTTAAATCATGTTATGGAAAAATTGTCTAATAAGTAACAAATAATAGCACTCATTGCGATGGCTCACAAACTCTACTTGGAAATAAATTTCTGGAAAACAAGTGTCCTGTAAAAAAAAAAACAATGCGTTTGTCTTATTGTTTAATTTTGCTTAAAATGGTTGAACTGCCGTCGTATTACTATCATATGGCCGAATAGACTTACGAAGTACCATGTGCTCTTGTGACATGGTATAATGTTTATTTTTGCTTGAAACAGTTCGAAACCGTTCATGCATAAGAAAAGTTCGCTAAGAAATAGTCTTTCGTCAATCCGCCGCCGTATAGCGCCGGCGTTTTTTTACTTTTGAAAACATTAAATAATATTTAACATTTGTAAATATCAATGAATGATATACCTTTTTTTTTTCAAATTAAGGTTCTTCGTTGTTTGATATTTACAAATGTTATTATTAGGTGAAAATTTAATTTAATAGAAACCAAGGTTTCCAGGGTGATTTAGCTGGACCTACTTATATAAATGATTTTTTTATAACAACAAAAAATAGTACAAAAGGTTTGCAATCTCGTCATAAAAAAAGTCACTTACTCTCAATTTCAAAGAAAACGCGTAAAAAAACACGTAGTTACCCACTAGAAACAATTATCCTTCCATTTGTAACTTATGTTTGATGTCCAATAAACTTAATTTGTCATCATGTCTGTGGCGCTTGACCCGCCCGGCGTGTCATGAAATATTTGTTCGCCGCCACAGCTAAAAGTTGTTGAAAATTGGTGCCGCAACGAATCGGTTAATATAATATCGTTATTTTTAACTATATTAACGCCGCTTTTGCTTTCCGTACCATATATTATGCTGACAGTGCATGCCAAGCAAGACGTCATTTCTAATCCTATTCTTTATCCGCACGAGTAGTACATTAGTTACATTACATTATAGTAATGTATATATGGGTGTATAAAAATGGGTTTTACCTAATTCCGTACATCTTTAACATTGAATCACGACAATACAATAATCTTACGTCTATGAACCAACAGCTCACAGCATATCGTTTATTCTATTGCTGCGGTTCTCATTATTTGCTATTAATGTAGTTTTTTTTTTAATTTCTTAAAGAAACATTATCGTCATCGTTATTATAACCCATCACAAGTCCACTGCTAAGTATAGAATTCCCCAAGGAATACCACAAAACATGGTCCGGTATCACCTACATCTATCGACTGCCTGAATGTCTTACCAGGTTGTCCTCACCCTCATTACACACCCTAATTCTCTAGAATATTTCCTTCCCATCAATAAGGCAGCTTCGTTATAATTGTAGTCATGTATTAATATATTCCATTTGACAGTTTCTATATTATATGGAATATTATTAATACTGGCAAAGGTAAATTCATAGTAGTTGAAATCGGTCAAAACAATATTATATCATCACTTTCTTTCTTAAATTGCAAATTTTAAAGCAATATGTGCAAAAAAAATATAGACGTTATAACATCCTCAAGCATGTATAAAGAAGAAGTAACCTTAATGGCATGATTGACAATTTCTTCAGCTACGTCCTGATGTTTGTGTAGCTCCATGGCGAACATGTTCTCTAGCGTGAAGCGATCGGGCGACATGTCGAACTCTTGGCCTAATTTGGAATAAATTTAACAATATCAATACCAAATAACACTCAATTTGTTAAAAGAATAATTAATTGCGGTTTGAATACTATTTCTGATGTCAGAATTTTGAAAATAATTAGATATAAACGCTTTACATGTCATTGTATAAGCTCGAATACAAGTAAGCTAATAATCGTTAGTGTTCACAAGTTCACTTAAGGATAAAGTATTCCGATAAACGCGGAACTGTTCGTAATCCGTTATAATAGGTCGGAGAAAAAGTTTCTTCGTATTTTATATACAAATTCAATACATTTTTTCAAAGTTTAATTACATTTAATTATAATATATTATATGTGCCATTTTGTTCGATAACTTGTTGCCATCTTGTAGGTAGTGACATAATCAATGGGATTAGATTAGATGGCTGTAGAAATCTTGGGATTTTTGAATAAAAAACTGCGACAAGTAGTTTTGACAGTCCTCTCTTGATGTTAACCTAACACTACCCAAAGAATTCTAAAGAGACCGCAACAGGTGAAAATCTGAGGGTGCAAGGTCAGGACTATATGGTTGATGTATTAACACTTCCCAACAAACAAGCAAGCTCTCTCAATCTTTGCTGAGTGGCCAAAGTGTGTGGTCTGCGTTATCGTGATGAAAGACTATTCCTTTTCTATTGATCAATTTCGACCGTTTTTTCTCAATTTCTTGCTTGAGTCTCATTAGTTGTTGGCAGTAGAGATCCGAATTCATGGTTTTGTCCGACGGTAAACTTTCATAATAAATGGTGCTCTTCCCACCGTACACACAGCATCACCTTATTGCGTGTTAATTCGGGTTTCGCTAGTCTGTGGAGTTTGACTACCCTTTGACCATGATCTTTTTCGCAGGTTCTTACCGTAGGTAATTTACTTTTATCACTAGTGATCAATCTTTTCAAAAATGGTTCGGTTTCATTATGTTTCAATAGAGAATCGCAAATAATAATAATAATATTTATTGTTTCTCACATAACTTATACATACATAAATCATATTGAAACTCTGTAGCCCGTGGTAGTTGAAAACTGTGTTACAGGCTACAGCGTCTTCCCCGTTTTCAGAGACACATATTTGTAATGTGGCAAACCAGCAAACAATATAAAATTGTGCGCGTGCGTGTGCCTGTTCGTGTGCGTATGCGTGCGTGCGTGCGTGCGTTTGTGCGTGCGCGTGCGTGCGTGTGTGTGTGTGTGTGTGTGTGTGTGGGTATACAAGCGTCATATTATTATATAAGTATTATTTAGAGGAAACAATAAGATTTTCAGTTGCGTTGTAGTTAAAATTACTTAACCACTTTGAATTTGATGAGTACACGATTCATTAGGTTTCATTCAATGAGCTCGTGCGGTACCCAAATATCGAGCTTTTTGTATACTCAGACTTTTTCAAGTGGGTCAAAACTGGTTTGTGGTCAATTTTCAATTTCTCGGCTATGTCGTTACTAGATAACCAATATGCCGATTTTGCTCCACTTTTTCAACAATGGCATCAACCATATCCGTATACGGTGACCAGAGCGAGCTGCATCTTTGACATCAAAATTCCTGGACTGAAAACGCTTGAACCAACTTTGTGCTACTCTTACTTACACTGCATTAGGTCCATAAACGTCACAAAGAGCAATGGCAGACTTTCATACATAAAATAATTAGTTGAGACGAAATGGTAGCGTCTATATACCAAAAATATCTTAAAATATTAAGCGTCAGTCCCTTAATAACTCTGTCAAAGAATTTTGTACTGAGAAGGCGTCAAAAAAAAGATATTTACGTTTGAACCTTTTTAGGTTATGTCCTATGTCACTTGGAAAAAGTCATGCTTCCTGTGGTTGTTTGATGTTAGCTTAATACATAATACATAATTGAGAGTTTTTAGATTATTGTATCTCTATTATATATTTGCATACTATAAATGTATATTTCTGGCATGGCTTCAGGGCTTTTGTACCATAGTGACATTCTCAGAAGGGCTAGAACCCAGAGCCGTAAAGCCAGTAAAAAAAACAGTGACATTTTATTTTAGCTAGTGATGGCATAACGTTAAATGGAATTGTTACATAGTACTATGATTGAGATAATGTATTATTGTAGGAAATTCTTTGTAAGAGACTTATTTTAAGCCATATCACTTTTATTTTTGTTATTACTGATAGTACAGTTATTACTAATAATAACTTAATATAAAAATATTATGTGTGTTGCGTTGGTAGTTTTACAAAGTGTATACGAAAATAGTATGAATATACTAAATGGCAACATTTGAATAGAGTAAAATGATAATAAGTCATTTGATATTCCCAAAAATGTTTTTTTTTTCTGTGGCTTTAGTTAAAATACATTTTTATTTGAAAAATCATAGAAAAATAATAAAACTCATTTTATATATAACTTATTTCTAGACGCTATAATTTTTGTCAACTATTTTTCTGCCATTGCTCTTTTTTCGCGGCTCGAGTCGCATTTTTCCCTTTTTTTGTAATAAAACTTCAGAATGTATTGAATTTCTTCGTTCTATTAACTAATTTTAGCGGACAGAAAAACAATTGAAAAATAGCGGGAAAGTGTTTTTACTTTTTATTTTTCTTTTTCTTAATATCAAATATGTATTGATATTAAAACCAGCCAGATACAAATAGTACAACTAAAAAGAATATTTTCCAATTTTATACAAACAAAATACGAAGAATCTTTTTCCCCGACTTATTATTACTAAGTCAGTGTTTTATAGAGCTGGTGATGTTACCAGTTTTAGCCATCAGCTCTTTCCAATGACGTTCCCGCATGGCTTCATTTTTCAGAGACACCATCAACGGTACGACGCTTTTAAATTGCTTCATCTTTAGGTCGAGCATCAAACCCATCGGCGTCAGACGAACTGCTTTCGGTAGTTTACTAATATGAAAAAAAAAAGAAAGTTATGTAAACCATAGAATCACAAAAATAAATAATAGTTACTTTGCCACTTTAAACTTTTTTTTTCCATATCTATATTATTAAGGCAAATTAATTGTAAAACATTTCTGCTTCATCATCATAATCATAATCGGCCCGTAGCCCGTACCTACAAGTCCACTGTTCGACAAGGGCTTAGTCGTCAAATTGTCAAGCGTCTGCCAGACGAGTTGTCAAAGTATCAGACGTCTCGCAACATTTGACACTGCTGCAAGTCACCGATAACTATAATTTATTTTTAATATTACATACCTATCATGTCATTTCCAAAAGTTTATGTATAAACAAAATACTAAAAATATAAACTATACAGGTTTAAATACTAATGTAGCATATAATCTCAATACTCACCGATATTCTTTAAAGAACTGCTCAATTCCATCAACGAGAGCTTGCGCATTCAAATTGACCCATAGTGTCTTAGCCCAATTTTCCCGTGCATTCTTTTGTGCTTTGTAAATCTTGTAAATCAATTCCATCGCTTGATAATCATTTTTAGCTCGATTGAAATTAGAGAAATCAGCCAGCGGATTGTCAAAAAGTTGTTCCGCCGCTTGTAGGTTTTTCTTGCGTGATTCTAACTCGTCAAAATATTTTGCATATTCCTGTTGAAATAACAATTGTCGGTATTTAATGAAAATTTCAGCAACAAAAGGGGCTGTCGTGAAAGTTAGCACCTTTCTTATTTTATCATGATTCATCATATAAAATATTTTATTGCGGAAGTTTTTAATTTTTTTTTAATGGGACTATCGTAAAATCCGATAGTCTCTTAGTGAACTTGAACTTGAGCATTGCGAAATGAGTAACTATACTAAATTTTAAGTCATTCGGGTGTATAGTTCTAAAGACCTCGTGATTAGTCAGTCAGTCAGTGGTATTTCGCTTACTATATATAATATGTTGAATGCGTGAATGGGCCGTGCATGTGAGGCACTCTAAAATGTCTTACTAATCATTATCTCCTTAGTTTTGGTTCTAGTAAGTTGATAAAATTCTCATATCGCTTCTCATATAATACTGTGTCGAGCCGAGCCTGCGACTATGACAACCAAAATTGACTATTATTTGGGTAAAGTTGCCATTTAGAAATAAAATTTTGTAAAACGTGATGTACTTCAATAAAATAATAAAACATAATATTATTCGATTTCATACCTCCATCAATAGTAGCCCTTTCTCCATATCATCTCCAACACTCCCGGGACCTTCCTTGTCGAACTTTTCTATGAACTCATCAAGCTCTCTTAGGAACGTGGAAATTTCTACGACGTTCAACTTTGAGAATTTTTCTTTTGTTTGCTCTAGAGTGTTTCCGCGGAATAAAGACGACTGGTAGAGGCTACCCCACGATGATTCTAGGTTTTTGGCGAAACTGAGGTCTTCGTCTGATACCTATTACGTTCGTTATAATCATGAGAATCATTAGTTGGTTTAGTTTTTACGTATTTTAAGAGGTGTTGTTAATTACATTGGTATTATTCCACTAAGATGGATTGACGACTTTGTAAGAGATGTAGGAAGTCGATGGATTTCAGTCGGTTTAGGACCGTGTTTTAAGGCAATACTGAGGGGGAGTCCTATGTTTAGTAGCGAACTTGTAATGGGCTGTAGTAATGATAATAATGATGAAACATTAAATTACTTTACGGCAAAAGAAATTTAACAATTTCAAGTCGTGACTTAATATTACGTCTCTTTCGCAATTCGCAACGATAATGATGATTGTTAACTGATTCTGCTTTAATTTCAAAGGAGAATATAAAGTTCTAGTTGTACTTTTTTAATATGATACTAGTATAAGAAGTTCTAAAGAATATAAACATAAAATGTAGTTTTAAAGTTTTGTAAATTAGTAACTATAAAGAAAATAAAATAAATGTGTGCAGTTCACGCGCGGTAGAAGTGAAACCTTCAGAAAATGACACCGAGATAATAGGAAACACTGTACACTGTATTCTATTTCTATTCATCGGATGTCAAATCACGATTCTAAAGAAGTTTTCACTTCAAAATTCTAACTTTAAAAAAATGTTGCGTTCTTCGATCAAAGGTTTTACTAATAATGTTGATATTAGTTATAATACTCTACTACAATACTAACTTCAATGCCATGTTGTCTCAGCATGTGGAAGATCTCTTGCATACCCCTGTACTTTACTTCAGCAGTTATGGTCATTGCTTGCACTTGTGTAATGGTGGCCATTACTAATTTGAAGTCCTCGAGTCCCTTTATGTTCATGTTCATGGTCATACGAAGAGACTGTAAATAATAATGTAAACAATGTAAAAATGCTACCGTGAAAATTTTCCTTCTGTTGTGTTTTATTTAAGTAATTAAAGAACAAGAACTTTATAAATACGACTTGAGTCTGCAATTCGTATTACATTTTTTTTAATATTGATAGAATTTAAAAATAACAAGAAATATTCTATTACAGGCCAATATTACGATTTTAGGTTCACTACATCTGGTACTGCGATGGCTCAGGGCCATGTAGTGGTGGTATATATTGGTGGAAGCCTATGTTCAACATTGGTTTTGAGATGGGCTGTAATGATAATGATGATGATGATGAAGATTTGAATAATATTAAAACAGTATTTCAATTATATCACGCAATGGAAAATATTATAAATTTTTATTTCAAAGTTAGATTCAAAATTCAACCCAATAACATCGATCATATTAAAGTTCAGTTTCAGGTGTTAGGAGTAGGACTACTTTCCTACTTAGGAGTCCCGATAGGGTTAGGTACCGCCCTCTGCGACTAAGTAGCAGTAAACAGACTACTATGTTCGTTTTGAAGGGCAAGGAAGTCAATAAATTTATAATATGGTGAATTATTTATAAGAGAGCTGGCCAACGACGTATCTGACTACTTTTTAACGTTTTTGAAGCGGGTATTTTAATACACTTAAATAAATCATACCTCAATCTGATTCTTAAGATCGTACATGTTCATCCTAGTTTTTGACGCTAAGCAATGCCCCAGTATGTTCTTCCACTCTTGCGCATGGTCCTGTATCTGGCGTATGATTGGGCGTAAGTTGACGCGTATCGCTCCGATGTCCACGTACTTAACGTGCTCCGTTAGGTCCGATATTATGTCCTCGAAGAAGAAGAATTTCTCGTCGTACTTGTGTATCTGGTCGTGTTTCTGCGTGTACTTTTCGCAGGAGAGCTGCTTGTCGAAAGCCCATAGGTGTTGGTATTTTTGCCACCTACAAAGTCAGTAGGGTTACTTAGTCTATTCATCATTGCTGTCATTATTACACGTGTTCGTAATTTAATCATTTATATATAGTTCTAAACTATGGACATCAATTGATTTTTCTTTTATTTTAAAAGGAAGAAATTCTAGTAATACAAAATTTAACACTTAATATTCCTTTTAATTGTACAAGTATGTTTAAAAGCTTGTATTGAGGCCCTGAGCGACAGGCGAGCCATGACGCTAAGGCGCCCGGCCGTCGCCCGTCGATTAGGGGTTTAAGAGTGTTTAGGGGCTTACGAGCACTAAAAATGTATATAAAAAAGTTTCGCACATACTTCTGTATGTAAGTATTAATATCTTGCGTTAGTCTATAAATCGTATCCTGTATTAACAGGGTGATGTCGTTTATGGAAGCCACACGAAGGATGTCCTCAAAGAAGGAGAACACATAGAATTCGTTGCCTGTCGCCTCCGCAATGCGTTGAGGCGGACACGGGACGCACGTGTTCTTCATCCAACGCGGAAACGCTGTTAGTCTGAAATGAAAATATATTAGGATATGGTTACACTGGTTAAACTTTTATAGTTTACTTTATAAGTGAGCTATCAAACTGTATTCATTCATTAACTCTTTACAGTCTAACAAAAGTCCACTGCCCTACGTAGGGCCATATTTGTCTTAGTTACCACGTTATACAAATGTCATAGTTGCCACGATTGGCAGGAAGCTTCGCAACATATCTTTTTATTTTTTCATTGTTAAGATTTAATCAGGAAGATGCAGCTACTCAGGTCCTAGTTTAGCTTTCTTCTGTCGCCTCTTAAAATATCACTGGGTGATAAGGGTTAGTGGATATACTTATTTGTGTTGAATTTAAAATTATGACATTACATAAAATAATTTTCAATTTGTCCGTGACGGCTATTGCTTATTAAAATAAAATAAAAAAAAATTGAAAATTAAATTTCCAAACATTCTATCTCAAAATCATGGAAACATACGTTTATCATAAACGTTGTAGCAAAACATCGTAATTAAATTTTTTATCTGTCAACCTGTTTAGGAAATGCTTAATGTCGTATCCCATAATGTTGCAAACTTCTGAAGAGGTGGGACGCATTGCAATATCCGGTGGTACAAGCACAGCATCCACTTGAAAGAGAGCATAATTTTCACTTAACGTTTGTTGAAACTGCTCCATGTTTTCGAGAGTCAATCTGTAATTAAAATTGTAGGAAAATAATAAATTTGTAGCAAAAAGAGATCTGATACGTCTACTGATGCCATCTTGTAGAACTACATTATTACACAAGAATTGTCTCCTATGTGTATGAAGGTATATAATAAAGTTCCTAAAAATATTCGTGAACAGCCATTAAGGCGAATGAAAAGAAGTATAAAACAGTGGCTAATAAATACTGCCTTTTATAATATCAAAGAATTCTCTAACCATAAACTTTGATTTTGATTTTGATTTTTCATTGATTTTGTTTAACTAAGTAAGTTACTATATAGATCCAGGATTTTGCGTGATAATTCGCAATTGAATAAAAAGATATTTTTCTAATTTTGTTATGTTCTTCTGAAAACATACAGAAACAGAAACTTTTTTATTCAATATAGATTATAAATAATACTTATTGAAAGTAACTTTTTTGTTTAATTACCACTGGTTCGAAATAAGACCTCTGTTCTGGGAAGAACCAGCCAGAAACCCAGCGGGACTTTTTTTTGAAATAACAGCTTACAGTCATTTATGTTAAACAATTAAAAGCTCAACAAATTAGAAATAGCTTGGTAGCGATCACTTCATTTCCAGGGGTTAGGATCATACATAAATTCCTTAATATTATAATAACCCTTTTTATAGAAACTTAGTTTAAAAAAAACTATAAGAAGTTGTTAGGTTAGCTAATAACGTAATAACTTAAGACAGAAGGACCCTTAAGTAGGAACTAAATTAATTAACCGACTTGGTTTTACATGGATCTCACAACTTTTTACGGTAGAAGAACTGAATTGCGAGACTTGGTTTTTTTACAAGTTATGTTTTTGATGGTATCTCGTTTCTTTTTGTAGATAGGTATATCTAGGTACCTATCTACACCTATATTCCATTATATTATACATATATAGGTACACCGATTCATTCACTGCAAATGTAACTTTGTAATCCTATATATTTATATGGGATTACAAAGTTATTTATGCAGTTGGTGTATCTCGAAAACTGGAACGAAATTGCAAAATATTTTAGTTTTTCCTTGATTTATATACTAAACAATAATTGTATTCCAAATTTGAAGCTTCTATGTCTGCTAGAAGTGCCTTAGTGTTTTAATGTTCGATCAGTCAGTGAGTGACAAAATTAAGAAACTTTGACTAGTTGTAATTCTTAAAATGCTGGTTCAAATTTATTGAAATTTGAAATATATCGAGTTTATACAATGCCTACTTGGTTACTGAAAATTCAGGCTTCTAATTTTGTCCACAACAAAGTTATAGGGTTTCGAAAATGGCCTGAGCTGCTTCGAGAAAAGGATGGTACGGCCGTGCCCCTTTTTTGCTTGACTTGGCGGGGGCACTGCCGTGCCCTCAGATTTTAAACCATTTTTAACATGCCACGTAAGGCAAAATGTGTAGAAACAAATATTGACTCTGTATCAATCCGTCTGTACCCATGTTTTTAGCGAAATAAATGATTTAATTTGATTTGACCTGAACGACATCAAGTACAGGTTTTCCACCCACTTTCAGAAGCTCCGCTGTAATTGTCGTTCTTAAGGTGCTGGAAAGCCATCCGAGATATCACCAGAATAGTGTTGGAATAGTGTCGGATAAGACTTGTTCTTGGATCGTAACGATCCAAGAGCAAGTCTTACTTGCGTGTGGCTGCAACGATGACGTGTTCAGCTGTCCATAGAACCCCTTAATCTCTTCCAAAGTCTCAAGTGTCCCCGAAACGTTGCTGCCATATTCGGTCTTCAGCTTTAAGAGTTGGCTCTTTCTGGCAGACAGATCTCTGGCAAATACTTTGGCGCTTGGTTCCGCTCGATCGCTTCTGCGATACAAGCTGTATCGAAGTTGCGTAAGTCCCGCATCTGTCTGGTCAGTTGCCTGTATCAAATCTGCTGAAGACTGCAGCTTCATTTCCCATCTAACAGCCATGATTGAAGCCATGTATGATCGGAGATTTAGTGTTTTTCTGTGACCGGTCTTGCAGAACTAAGCTGCGACCGAACGGACAGTTTTCACGAGCTTGTCATTCATATCGTCCACTGCATTGCAGTCTTCCAGGCATTGAAAATGGTTTTGTATTTCAATTTAAAAGTTTTTGGGACATTGGATTAGAAGCAAGAGGGGAAGCGTTGACTTCATTAGACGTGACCCAAGTTATCTCCAAGTTAGATTTTTGGAGTCAGCTTTTACTATTCGCTAAAAGGTAAAGTGCTGGGTCGAATTATTGAATATAGGAGCAGAATGCGTTCTGTTAGTAACCTTTAACTTTAACCACGTGTTTTTACTTACTTGATAAGTGACTTGAATATATTCTTCTCCCAGAAAGTGTAGTAAGCGGCCATGACATTCGACTTGCCGGTACTAGTGCCAAGAATGAGATATTCCAGTTTCATCAAGATCGGTCCGATCCGGTCGTACAAGCGTGATAGTGTCGAAATACGAGACATGCGTTCGTTCTCTACTTCGACAAAGTATGTCTGTACAATAGAAACGTTACGTTACACAGAATCAGAATCAAAATTGTATTTGTGAAACACAGGTATACATATGAGTTTTGTCGTAAGATATACAAATATTTTTACAAATTAAATAGGTTATAATTAATAAAATATCATAATATTCATAAACTTAGATAACAAATTGCAAGCATAAGATTAATAATATTATAATAATGTATCCTTTAAAAAATCGTCTATTATATATTAGACGATTTTTTACATATACCATATTTTAAATTTTGATAACGGAATTACGTAATTTTGTTGTATATTTTAGGAGCTTGTGCGCTTTAAGGCAGTCTTACATTTTAAATTGCTTAATTGATTGATATGTATTGAGCCGCATTGGGGTTTTCTTGACTGCTGACAATATAATAAATAAGTGTGGGTTTCTTTTTACAAAAGTTGCAGTTTCTAAAATGTACAGTGCCGGGAAAGTTTACAGTTTTAATAATTTAAAGTAAGGTACACAACTGTCGTTCACACTATCGTAATTACGTAAATTTTACTAATTTATGTCGTTAAAAATACTGAGATGACGTCATCACACGTTACACACACACGTCAGAGACAATTAGTGAAACTTCTTTAACGACGTAGTGCAGAAATTCAGTACGTTTCGCCGCCAGAGGTACCATGAGTATACTATTATTAAACCTATTCATGTAAAATATAAAATAAGTAGTTTCTATTCGTGAATATTTACACAATAACACGCACAATTTACTTGTCATCCACGGAACAATAAATAAATTTTTAGAACAGAAAGTTAAAAACCCAAAAATCACGAAGTGTTTTTCACAAAAATGAATTTTGTGTCAAGTGTTTCTTGATAGGCGGTAAAAGGTATTTCTTCGTAATATGATGGTTATTTGGGTTGGTTGGTTTGATTTTTCTTTGATTTGGATAGATGCTACCACAGCCCCTTTGATTATTAATGTGTTGATGCTTTCGCTTTAAAGTTTACAAAGACCTTTAAGAAAACTAAGGTGGTGGTGATTGTGATCGATTGACTTTTATGCATAATTGCATTACAAAGTTTAACTAAGAATTGAATCAAATTAACAGAATCAAATAAAAAAATATAGTTATATTCGTTGAAATTTACATTTTGTATTCAACAAAAAATATTGTAACGTAATTCAAAAGATTTATAATTGTAAAAAAAAAATAAGTTTCATAGTTATTTATTTTCACCAATGAATTTGTGGTTGTGGGTGATGTTGAACCCGATACAAGATGGTGGTATAAAAGAATACATAGGTGCGAGCGTGCCAGGTGAAGTAAATAAGGCAAATTTTTCCTATAATGTGAAAGGCCCATATTCACCAGTGTACCTTAACGGACTGATGATGAATAAAAAGAATACAAATCTTACCTTACAAGGGTACAGCCAAGTGTCATCTGGTTGACCAGTCTCTGGGCACACGTAATCCTGTGGCTTTATAATAGGAAACAGGTCAAAAAGCTCCAGTTGGTCGATTAACACTTGGATCTCTTTTTCAACCATCTTTAACTGTTGATACACGGCTTGCAAAGAATTTTGACCTGTAAAATAAACAATGATGATCTCTATAATGGTTTCTTATATTTACGCGAACACTACACATTTAAATAAAACTAATTTTACGGATTTTATCACGTATATTAACTTATTTTATATATAGTGGTTGATGGCTTTTTGGTCTTGACAACCTGGTAAGAGACCTGGCAAGATGTAGGTAGCCAGTGCCGTGCATCGTGCTTTATGCCATTCATTATAATCATGTGATCATGATCAAGGTTCTCAGATGGGAAATCGGTCTGTAATTCTTCAAGAAAGCGTTGTCGCCTTTCTTGAAGAATAAAACCACCGGACTTCTGTTCCACGCCTCCGGAGTAGTCCCACCGTGGAGGACGGAATTAAAGAGTTTCTGAAGGACTTCAAAAGCTCCACTGTAATTCAATCCTCGCCTGGGGCCTTGCCATTTTGAAGGTGCTGGAGAGCCATTCTAATCTCGCTCAGACTGACGTCCGGGATTCATCGGAATAGTGTCGAATAAGACTTGCTCTTGGATCGTTACTCACACTTGCGTGTGGCTCCAAGGATGATGTGTACACTTGCCTATAGAACCTCTCAATCTCACTCCAAATCTCAGGTGTCCCGGAAACAACGCTGCCATACTCGGTCTTCAGCTTCGGCAGTTGGCTTTTTCTGGCAGACAAATCTCTAGCAAATACTTTGGAGCCCTGTTTCTGCTTGATCGCTTCTTCAATACGAGCAGTATTAAAGTTGCGTAAGTCCCGCCGCATGCATTTGGAGATCTGTCTGTTCAGTTGCCTGTATGCTGCTAAATCTGTTAAAGACTGCAGCCTCATTTCCCGTCTAACAGCCATGATCGGAACAATGTCTGATCGGAGTTTTTGTGTTTTTCTGCAACCGGTCATGCAGAACTAAGCTCCGACCGAACGGACAGTTTCCACGAGCTTGTCATTCATATGGTCCACTGCATCACAGTCTTCTAGTCACTGAAAATGGTTTTGTAACTCAAGCTGAAAGGGGGGGGGGACGCGTTAACTTCATTAGACGTGACATCTCCAACTTAACGTTTAGGTTCAGTGTGCCTCTAACCATTCGGTAATCGGTACCAGTTTTCACCCTCGCGATCACTGACTGAGACATCACTGAACAGCTGTCGTCTGGTCGTCCTAATGAAGTCAATCTCATTTTTTGTCGAACAGTCGGGGCTCGACCTGGTCCACTTCCTGTGAGGTCGCATCTGGAAGAAAGAGTTCATCATAAAGAGTCCCCCTTTCTCTCTTTCTGGCCCCTTGGGTTCCATTTCCCTATTCCAAATTTCCCTACTTTCAGCTCACCGTTCTCTCTTGTGCCTAGTTTTGCGTTGAAGTCTCCCATTAACACCGTGAGTCGGTTTTGGAGAAATGCATGTCTTTAGAGATATCCTCATACATTTCCCTAAGGTTCCGACATGAAATACTGTCACGCTCTGCTGAGCACGCCAAGGTTTTTAGAGGACAATTTGGCCTTCTCTTCCAAGCGACTACGAAACTGCACATCACTCGATATGTTGACATAGAGGATTCCGATACTGGCTGAGGCAACTAGATTTAGTCACTCCCAAAAGTCGTGAAAATAAGACTTTGTTCAACAAAGTCTCGACTTCAGACACTAGTTTGTTCCGGTACTCGACAACGTTTTCCCGAGAAATATTGGCACGGCCGGTGAATAAAGCATCGCCAGTGTTACCAATTTGCAACATATCATTGATATGCAGAAGAAACAGCGTTAATGATAGCACGTAGCATAAAAGATCTCTTCGAAAAAATGCTGTAACGGCCGTGTCAGAGACCTCACAGTGACCGTAGTGTATGTCGGCACGTGTCGTTTAGTTCAGACGCATATAACATTTTTAGAAATATTAAATTTAGTATGTTACTTGATTAGTAACGCTAAAATCCCATTCATAGTACACCTATACGTCCCTTAAACGACCAACGGGTTGTTTGTTACATACTTTATAAATAGTTTAAAAAACTGTGATTGTTTGAATCTGTATTAACCTTTATTTTTTAATAAAAGATCTTTTATGAAACCCACATTTCCTGTATTACACAAAACATTAAAATATTTTAAAATTATTCATAAATTAAAAATTATAGTTAACATAATACCTAGAAACCATAAACCCTGACCCCACTCACGGGTCCGTCAGCTTTGCATTACGGGCCCGTGAACTTCGCTATGCGACAAGCAAATGACACAATAATTTGCAAATGGCTACATACAATGCGTGTTTTTTGTGACATTCATGAACATCCTACGAAGAGGAAAGCGTAATGAATATGTGACTTGTGCGAAGCACCAAAAGTGATTTATTCATGTCCAGGGTGCGTATAATAACATTGCGCGATGCGTCTGTGTGATTAGATAATATCAATTTTGGTGTTCTATTAGAAGTTTCCACACTCAAGGACTACAGTCTTAAGCAGGTTCTTCAAAAGTTAAAGACACACCAACATAGTTGATAGAAAAAGTGAGCGTGCCTCGATCTCAGGCGAAAAATGTTTTGAGTCTCAATTATGTCTATACCATATGGTTCCAAATTCAAAGCAGTACCTTTCGTTATGTCACTGATATAGTCTTTGATTCCCAACGCAGTCCAGGTTATTCTTGTCAGGCCGGGCAGTATGTGCCGCTCCATTTCCAGCAAGTGTACCTTCATGAGATGCGTCTCAGATGTGCTGAGAGACTGACTACTACTGTTGTATCGACTTATGACATTATCGAGTGCTTCTAGTTCATAGTAGAGACGGGATTTTTGCATCGCCACGTCCCGAATGTTTGAAGGAAGGTTAAAACCTATAAGAGCATAGTAATTTATTTTCATTTTATCGCATCGAAAGTTCGTTAATTTGCTTAAAGATTTTATTTTTTGAATATAAGTACCTAGTTGTTCCATGAGTTCAGCTTCTCGCAAAATCAAAAAGATCTTGCGATCGAAATTGGGATGAAACTCCAGATCGTATTCTTGGATTAGCTTGTGCACAGTTAAATCACGCCATGTTACATCCGTCTGACAAATAAAAATATGCTTTGACAACTGCAAATTCGTTAATTCATTTTTCCAAGAATCTCGTTTAGACCTTTTTATGTGTGGGAGGTTTAAATTTAGTATTAAAAATTTATTTCCCCATTAACACAAACGATGCTTCAATAGTTTTAAAAAACGGTGCTGTGTTACTAGTGGAAACAGAGACTACAGTTTGCGACCGATAAAAACATCGTGACATAGTGGGAACCTGATTTAGACATACTTTAGGAATTTTTGAGATGGTTATTCATTTATATAATTAAGTCAACTAATTTAACAGCTGGTAAGCTCAATAGCTTTGCGTTAGTTGAGGTATTTGGGGACCGCAGATTCAAATCCTGAACGGTATAAGTATGTATATATAACCAATCCGGGTTAGGACATTTATAATAAACAACCGGACATGTATAATATAGAACACCACCATGATACGGTAGAAAATACTAATATGGGGTTATTATTTACAAAAAAAAAAAGAAAAATAAAAGAAACAAGAGTTAGCGATATCTGTCAATTTTAAAAGACAAAAATGAATGGGATAGAAATCTTACGTAACTGTTTCATTCATTTCAACGTTATTACTCATGAAAATACATATTTTCATTTCTTATTTGAATAAAATTAAAAAATACCAGTCCTTCCTTAGCGAGAATCGACATGGAGCTCGGTGATCTTACGTTCTCGTAGTGCTGTCCCGGTATGCGCATCAGCATCACTGAAATAATTATTGCACATATTCTTATTTGCAGCTTCAAACATGTATAAATAATTACAATCAATACATATAAAATACGAAACAATCCAATAAAGGGCTTTTAATACAAATCTCGTGTTTTTAGCGGGACACGACAAACTTCAAATGAAAATTTTGCCTGTAGCCTGTTCAGCGTAGACAAATCACATTCATCCATCCAGCAGTGGATTTAGAACAAAAAGATTGATGAAAGAATATTAAGCATAATTTTGGCAAAATTTTAGTGGTTGCTATACGTTGAAGTGAAACAACTGTTTGCAAGTAACACACTAATTGATTTCATACCGGATGACAATTGTATAGGTGCGGTGTGCGGTACGTAGCCGTACAGATATACGTGGTAGAGCCATGCTTCAGATATATTACTTGTATAGTTGTAGCACGAATGGGTCGGCTCGACCGGGGAAGGATCACGCTTTAACAGAATATCAGAGTAAAATAGCAACTTAAAGCTGCTGTGTTTCGTTTGGTGAGTGTAGAGAACCGGAGACTCTTTTTAATGGAAACGAGGCATTCCATCTTAGTCCTCACAGGTGACAACGCATCTGCATTTTGATTCACAAACGTGGATAGATGTATATGTCTATGAGCCACAGCAACCACTTACCGTGGACTGTGTACTCGTTTGTCACCCTTATACTATGAAAAGAAATACATACCAGTTTCTTTGTATTCTCACTTTTACATATCCTATGATTTTCAAGTCAGTTGATTTGTTGCACAACCATTATACTTGGCAAGGATTTCAACTAAAGACACAACATTAAGACGCAATTGTAGTACCTCAGGGGCTAAGGGTTCAAATTTCACAGTAAGGGAGCATCCCGCTTGTAATTCCCGCCGAGATCAATAAATTTGTTAGTTTGTAATTTGAACTGCTAATTTATCGTGTGGTTGGCAGTGATGGAAATCACTTAAAAATCGTGAAAGAGCCTGCATATTTGAGAAATAATATGTACAGGAACAGCACGGCCGACTGATTGCTCTATAAACCTCTCAGAAATTATGGTACGTATATACGCTGCACCTATACCGACAGGATTGTACACCATAGACCTAGTGACCATAATATACAAAACTGTAGTTATACTTACGTGCTTTATCCCTACGCCTTTTGTCAGCTATCTCTTTGTTGACGACGTCGGTGGGACTTAACGAAGTGTTGGAGCCCTTTTTCTTGGATAGCTGGCCGCGACCGGTAATTGTCGGCTGCGATTCTGTACACAAAGGAAGAAATATTGTACTTTTTATGCCGCGGCTGACTCCACGGGTTTAGATACAAAATGTAAATGTGTATCGCGTCGTGTAGTATTGGATCCAAGGTACTTGCGCGCACCCGCACACTTGCTTCATTCATCCTTTAAAAAAAATTCGATGCGGGTCGAAGCTAGGCATTGTTTGTCTGTTCCTTTGCCAAACGGGTTTTTTCTTAAAAGGTATGGGTAGATTCCTTTTCACCTTCGAGACGTTATATAAGGTTTATGCCAATAATACGAATGCTACATTTATATACCTTTGATTTGTTTTTGCTTGAAGAGCATTATTACGAATCTCTCATTTTCAACCGACTTCAAAAAAAGGAAGAGGTTCGCAATTCCACTGTATTTTTTGAATGTATTACCTCAGAAGTTTTTTCTAGGTGAACCGATTTTGAAAATTCGTATGCTGTGGTTCCATATAAATTTGATCAATGTCTGACCAATAGTTTTTGAGTTATCCTTAATAATGCTTATTTGACCGACTTCGACTACGTTGATGATGTTCTCATTTTATTTATATTGAAGTCGGTTGTACAAAAATTTTAATTTTACCACTTGTATATGTATCATATTAAATCACTGCAGTCGGTTTTTTTAAATGTCGTAAGAATACATAAATAATTTAGTAGCACTAGATATATTATGGCAGTAGCAGGGTGATCCAACTTTGTATGGAAGCTGAAAAATCTGCACACAAACATGATTTTGTCAATGTGCGTGTTGGGCTTGTAAAAATAAAGCGAGAAAAAATATCGTTGTTTCTTTCCTTCGTGTTGTTTTAGATTGCCATTTTAAAAATTAGATACACAAATTCATATTATATCGGAAGACACTAAAAATGTTAATTCTGTGTTAAGCTTTTTTTGGTTTACTCTTTAAAGTATGATTACATGCATATTACTCTGAGATTTGCACAATTAATTTACCTATTAATGCATTTAAATTAAATTATTTAATATTAGCAGAATTCTATCAAAAGAAGCCATGAATTAGTAGAAAAAGAAAAAATGACATTTGTTTGTCAACGTCTTTCATATTGAAGATATTTTTTGAAATTTATTAAAATTTAGTTCATAGGTTTAGTTTTTAATATTTATCATTGATTTTTGCTTAAATTCAGTTATTATGGACTTCATTTTCGTATGTAGGTTAATACACGGTCATAATATCGTCGTGAATAAACAGTAAAAATTTTTTGTGAGATGTTAACTCTGTATAAGGATATTGAATATAAATGAATTCATTATTTCAAAGTTTTATGCACGATTTGTGATCATCGTCGAAAGTAAGTTAAGTGTTGTGCAAATAAAAAGCACAAAATCATCTGATCACTGTCTGCAGGTTTCCTATGATAGGAAAAGAAAAACTTATGACAATATTGTGGTAAGTCTATAAACAGTTTGAACTTATTGGTCGTTATTTGTAGGGATTATTACTATATTGACTCGAATTGTATCTGTTTCAGATCACGTATTTTGGCTGAGTTAAAGTTTTCATCATGTGAGTTTAGCTGATTAAAATTTACATTAATGTTCTGTGAAGAATAACTCTATGACAATATATCAGTAACAAGCGTGGAAATATTATGTGCAAAAGCAATAAAAAAACATCAATAATAATGTATAGTTTATAAAACAATCTGTCTTCCAGAAAATATAATGATATAACTATACTTATTTATAGTTTTATTTTATCCCACATACTAATCTAAAGTATATTCGAATAATTTTGGTGCAACCTCTCAAATACGAGTATATGGGAATTTACCAATATGTTTGCGAGGCTTGAGCCAAAATTACTCGAATATGCCTTAAATAAAAAGTTTAAAGTTACAGAATACAAAGGTTTACCGTAGCGCTTTTAGTGCACATTCATAAACACGTGTTTCCGTTTTTTAGTATGAAGTTGGCGTTCTTCTCTTGGTAGAGAGTAATTGTGTTCTGTGGGTAGTAGTGTCATAGGTGCCAGGCGTGTGAGATTTGCCATCATTTATCGCTAAGTGTCACGATAATGTCAAGTCTTCCTTACTATGTAAAAGGCTCATTGGTAATAACTTCTTGCAGGTCAATGAGATTTTTTTTAAAAATTTATAGCATTTATAAAATATTATTACTTTATATAATGTAAAACATCCTATCTGATTCGAAAGTGCCTATATAAGGCACCACAATCATATTACCAAAAAAAAAATTATTACATTTATTAACAACAAAATTGTTATATTTATTTATAATAAATATGATAAATAAATATAATAATTTTGTTGTTTGTATTACAATAATTAATTATCTACCTGATATAATGTTACCTTTGCCCTCTTTAAATTTAACATGTAAAATATTTTTCTTCATCACATTGTCGACGAATTTTGAACAGTTTTCCGCCCATTCTTTAAACTTTAAATCCTCATATTCCTTTATAACTTTTGAGAAGGCTTTGTATTGTTGAAATGCTTCCTTTTTCTGCTCGCAATCATTGAGCTCCGGTACCTGCAATCAATTGTGGCTTAGTATGTAAATACTTAGTAAAGTACAATGTCGCGGAGGGAAGACGGTGGAAAGTCTAGCATGCGGTTGGCCCGTCAGGAAATCGTCGTTGTTGAACACTCATATACATATCTAATATCGTATACATAGGAAGTGATAGATGTGATGATCGATGTGCAAACTTGCCTCAAATACTCACGTCGCTCTGTGCTCAAAATTACACTCTTAAAATACTATCAACTTTTTTAATTATTATTTATTTTTAAATTATTTATTATTTGTTATAAGGATGTTTATGATTAAGGTAGTTATTCTTTAACTGTTTGTAATTGAAAAAATCCTGATGACCTCAGAAAATGGCAGCGTAACAATCTCAACTAAATAATATGTCCAACACAAGGAAGGATAGCATCTTCTTAGGGTTTATACATAGAAGTATTAGGCTTAGAACCGCAGTAGGCGCACGCCAAGTGAAGCTATTTCAAGTTAGTCTTTAAAGTACGACTTTTGGCGCATTAGTACTCGAGTCTACGTAGTCGTGTAAACAGCTCGCACAATTTTTCAAAACAATGACGTACTGTACTATGAAAGGGTGTCACAACTCATCACATAATTACGAAAAAAAATGTAAAAATCTCAATTCACGGTTAAGTACTGCCTAGCATCTTATATTTTTGTAAAAAATATTTATCAAAATTAAATAATAAATAATAAATTTGACCGACGCCAATATAATGAAAATGTTGCTAGGCATAGTAAAATATTTTACCCCATTTTTTCTTATTATTATAATTATCAAAAAATGCATATTGAAAAAAAATACGTACATACTGCCAATAGTCTCATTCACATATAAATAGGTATTTTTATTTGCCAAATATTATTAAGGTTCACATTTGCCACGAAAAAAAATATGTTGATTTTATTTTGTTTTAATAATGTGCAGTTGTTTTTACCCTTTTATGGTATGTGTTTTAGGATAAATAACATAGCCGATCATTATTTTTTTTTCAATTCTAATTTACATGTATTTAACATTTTTAGTTCGATTCTTTTATGAATGTAAAAAGATAACATTTCAAGGATAGCGTCATCAAAGCGGCAGTTGTTTAGAAAACAGTTGCAGTTTCAGGGTCATTAAGAGATATTTTTTTAAGTACTTGGGTATATTTTATTTTATTTTATATTTTTAATAAACAATTTTAATTTCATGTTTTATTTGAATAGTTATCTCCTTCCGGATCTTATTTTGTTTTAATGCAAAACATAATATTCAATAAAGTAATAATAATAATCACTTGAAGCTGACCGCACTCTTTAAGTCTCGTGATTCCTTCTAATATTATATCCATTCTGTGAAAGTTGTATGTTGTAATCTTTACGTTGAAACCGATTTAAATTAAATATATCACGTAGAATCTTAGAATGGCAAGAATCGAGATCAGTGTATGCTTTATTATTCGGTTGAAGCCACGGGCCACAGTCAAAGTTCAAAGATCACTATTCACTTAAGTGTAAGTGGGACTGCTGGTTTGGAAAAACTGGAAGAAATAGACGTAGGCATTTGCCTCCTCTATTTCTTCCACTTCTCTATATATCATAGAATAAGGCCATTGAGTATTATATCAAAATTAATATTTACGAATAATTTAAGATTTTATGGAAGGTAAATAACAAATATTTATATAAATATATAATTTTTATACGTGGTAGAGCCATGCTGCAGCTATATTAGTAGTATAGTTGTAGCACGAATTGGTCGGTTCAACCGGTGAAGGACCACGCTTTCACAGAATACCAGCGTAAAATAGCAGCTTAACACTGCTGTGTTTTGTATGGTGAGTGTAGAGAACCGGAGACCCTATTTACTGGAAAAGAGGCATTCTATCTTATTCCTCACGGGTGATATCGCATCTGCATTTTGATTCGCAAAGGAGGATAGATATAGTTGTCTATGGGTCACAGCAACCACTTACCATCAGATGGACTGTGTGCTCGTTTGTTACCCTATCTATAAAAAAAAATACCACTTCTAACAGAATAATGTAATTACATAATAGATTTGTGAATATAACCCAAGATATTACGTATATAAATAACTTAAATATTTGAATATAACCCAAGATATTACGTATATAAATAACTTAAATATTACACAAGTTAACAAAAATAAATAATGTTACATTTTTCTCTTTGCAAATAGTTAATAAATCATTATAAACGCAACCTAAATATTAATTATATGATGTTGTCTACTATTACATTATCCCCACTTTTTGGGGAAAATGTCATTAACTTGCAAACATTACTCATTTGCTTGTGTGCGTGTGGGCAAGCGTAATTACAGGCCGCTTATGCACACGTTCATTGTGTTGTTGCTTCAACTTTGAACGGAATTTTGAATGTCACTATCACTCTATGTGTAATTACTCTAAGGGTTTATATATATTTGACAAGAACTTTACCATTTGTTATCTACAGAATGCCAGCAAGAAGTTGGAATAGCTAAATTAAAAGCTGTTTATAAAATATAATTTAAGCAAACCTTTTGAAACTTCATGACCGGTTGCTTCATCTTGTTAAATAGTGCTCGAGCCCAGTATATCGCTCCAGCAACAGGCGGATGATTCCGAAGCAATGGCGGGTTTTTACGAAAACGCTGAAATAATGCACAATTTTTTTTTGGTTATTGTCATTGGTCATAGATTGATTGATTGTTTACTTGACGTTCTTTAGCCATTTCGAATAATTTGAGAACAATTTGTAGCAGCTAATGTCAATTAATTATGTATTTGTACTACAAATCGAATTGGATACATAGAATTGGAATATCTGACGTGAGAAGAAAATTTGCAAACATAATGATATGAAGGATATCATTGTTTTCAAATGTCTCTTTCCTTTTTGTTAGTTGACTATTGTGGACAAAGATCTGTCGAGCTCCTCCAGTGCGTATGGGTGGACTTCAGGTTCTAAATATTTTTATTGACTAAACATTGCAATCTGCTAACTTACGAACGAAAATCTGACAACCGTTAAATGATATTCAACAAAGACTACACAAAAAAAGGTCACTGTAGGCGCCGTGCGTTGGAGATTTCGCCTGAACTGTCTACGAGTACTGATGACAGTATCGTGGTTCTGTGTCCGATGTATTAATTCTTCTAGTGCAGGCAAAGATCGCGTTGCTGTGAGGCTGCTCTGTCTTACTGTATGTAATGGGTAGTGCTGCTGTTGATTTGCATACTTTCGTGTTATTATGTAATTACGTCTCTCACGTTATACTAGTATGTAATTGTAACGGGGACATATTAACGGTATGGTGGAACTGCAATTGATCAATACTGAATGTACAGTGCCTTACGCTGTTTTATTGCTGTCAATAATTTATTGCGTAAGCAGGTGAGGAAGTGGAACATCTGCTCTCACACTATAATTATTTTTAAAAATTAACCTTCTGATGTATTACCGAGAAATATTTTCATAGGAAACAACAAATAGAATGGTATTAACTTATTCTAAAGTGGCTAAATATCACCGAAAACTTTAAAAAAAATACGCCTAAATCACATAATTATATTAATAACTCAACACATAAAAAATAATTGGTAAAATTAAATAAAATACCGTAAACTTGTCTTCAATGGCAGTGATTTCCTTGATGAACTGACGCATCACCAAATCGAATTTGGTAGACAGTTCTTTACGAATCGATTTTCTCGTATCGAACTCGAGGAACTTAAGTAGCACGTCTAAAGCTTCTTCAGCGGACCTGAAGAAATTAATGAATTTAAATATAAATGATGAAAAAGGATGATTGGAGGGTAGGCGGACGTTTCGCAGTAGTCTGTTCTTAATTTCACAGCAAATATCTGCGTACGCCAAGTGGTGATTGATGGCATGACGCAATCGCTCGCTACATAATTGGAGCGCGGTTGCGTCAGCAAGTAGTATAAATAGCAGTAGTTTCGACTCGGCACTCACTTAGCGGCCAGCCTCTGCAGAATCTACTTCACCTGAGGATGCCTCGTGTAGAAGAGAAACACGTGTCGTATTTTCGTGAGTGGTGTGTCGTGCCCAGTGTGGTGATGCTGGGGATGGTAGTGTGCGCGATTGAGGGAGGGTGGGAGGTCCCCTTAAAACTGGGTACGTCATTTTCTTTTCTTTCTTTCTTTACGCGGAAATTTAGCAAATTAGTTTATAACAACCCCATGGTAATGGATTTCCGCAAAGTAACGCCTGATTCTGTTAATTATCTTATTTTTTTAAGTGTTTGGGTACGCTCAGATAGATTACAGAATAGATTAGACTCACTATTAAATATCGATTTAAAAACGATCTTTTTGGAAGAACAAATCGATGAATCGATTTCAGATCGTCATGCCTAGTCGGTGTACCGTTCTAATACACGGTACCTTGTTATATAGTGGCAGCTACGGCAAATATACCCCCTATAAGGCAATATATGGGGAAGGCCTATGTTTAGCAGTGGACTTAAATTAGACTGGAACGGTAAGTGTTTGTTGTAATAGTAATAAGATAAATGTAATAGTAGGAGCGAGCTATGGAGAGGGCTATGCTCGGAGTTTCTCTGCGTGATAAACTTAGGAATGAGGATATCCGCAGTAGAACCAGAGTAACCGACATAGCCCAACGGATTAGTAAGCTGAAGTGGCAATGGGCCGGCCATATAGCTCGAAGAACCGACAACCGATGGGGAAGAAAGGTTCTCGAGTGGCAGCCTCGTACCGGTAGGCGAAGTGTAGGGCGTCCCCCCACGAGATGGAGTGACGACCTGGTAAGACATGCAGGAAGTCGATGGATGCAGGTGGCTCAGGACCGTGCTTTGTGGCATTCTTTGGGGGAGGCCTATGTTCAGCAGTGGACTTGTGAAGGACTGTAATGATGATGATGAATAGTAGGAGGAAAAAATGACGGATTTTTTTTATTTTATCTCAGTGGAACGCAGGTGCTCCGTGCGATGTTTGGGGCAGCGTTGCTGAGGTGAGCGATATTTGCGTAAATAAATAAAAAAATAAGTTTTATTAATTTACGCAAATAAAATTACGCTATAAATTGACCAACGCCATTTTTATTGAATACAAATTCGCCATAATATTCACGATATATCGAAAATATAACATAAAACGTAATTTTGGACTTTGTGAAATATGAAAATTTGTTTTAGTACAGGATTTATATTGATAACTTACACTTTACATTTCATTTTCAGTTCCTTCTGACTACTTTATTTCATACGTGAACGAAATGTATAAAATTTTGACGAGACAAAATGTAAGCGAATAAGTTTTAAAAACCATGTTGTTTTAAAAACCTTTTATATAAAAAACAAACCAGCACATACCAAATAAGTACTTACTTAATTTTTTAAAATTGAAGTTGCCTCTTGCACTCACGAGGCAAAGAAAATAAACTTAAGTATATGAAGTAAACGGGACGGTAAAGGCGCAAACTCGTCATTTGACGTACATTCTCTTAATTTAGAGAAGCGTAATTTAGTAACGAATTTAATACAATACACTAACTAATTCTAATAAAAATTTTTAGAATTTTATTTGTATAATTCTTATAAATAACATGTAAAAAAGAATTGTTCTGAGCACTCTTATCTATTGTTCTGAATAAACGTAGTGATTATATACTCTATGGTTCAGAGGGCTCCCTTCTAAATATTACTATACTCTTTGGCAGGGTCTACAAAATTATCACGGGAAGACCAATGTGGACCGGCGGGACGGGCGTTTGAGAATTTGGCCACAAGAATAACTGTTAAGGAGTTAAACTTAATCCGATATTATATTACATAATATTTGTGTCTTCTCATTATACTGTGTTGTAAATCAATATCTACATATTTCTGACACTACATTTGATTCTATTAGCTAACTTAATAGCGTTTTGTACGTGGTAGAGCCACGATGCAGCTATATTAGTTTTAGCACGCATGCGTAAGCTCGACTAGGGCAAAATAGCAGCTTAAGGCTGCTGTGTTTCGTATGGTGAGTGTACAGAAATGGCGACCGTTTTTACTGTAAATGAGACATTCCAATTTAGTCCTCAGGGGTGACAACGCATCTGCATTTTGATTCTTAAACGAGGATAAATGTAGATGTCTATGGGCCACAGCATCCACTTATCGGTGGACTGCGTACTCGTTTGTCATCCTAATTCTATTTAAAAAAAATCGTGACATCGGATGTAGATAGATCAGGACGAGTCACAGTCGAGAACACAAAAAGAAGGACGTCTGAAGACACCTGGGACAGTATACCCTAATTTTCCTTGGTTGTAGGGCTCCACTTTTGCTTACGAGTCCGTCAGGATTATTACTGTCCTCTTGCATATTTATGCCGCCAAGCAGCAATGTATTTAATCGAGTGTTCTTGTGACTTATCTTAGTTTAGTCCACAAGCCTGACGCAACGCATCTTTGTTTAAAATCGCTTACTGTGATCTATGGACTGTTATAGCCACTAACCATAAATTACAAAAAATCATCATAGAAACTTTATGAATGTGGTTACAAACAGCAACAACAACATCATCATCATACATACTTTTTAAAATAATATAATTTATAAAGTCAAAATCCAATGAAGTACAGTCTATAGGTAACCCTTACCGTAAATTCCCGAAGCTCTGATTGATGTAATTTTTCGCTTCATCCTCCAAATAGCGTACCTCCTTCCAGAAGTCGCTCATTATGACATCCCAGTTCTCCTTGTTGTCAAACACGAACACGCTGAAGTCGATCGTACGTATCGGGTACACGAGATTCTTCACGCGCTTTCGAACGTCGTCGATCTGCGTCGGGTCGCTTATGATAGACTTTAGTTCCGCGCCGAATATTCGCTCGAAGTCGATGAGAACCTGCCCATAATATTAACATATTCATCATGCACATTTTAATGTAACCTCAATCGAGTTACCTTTATGTAAAACGAAACAGTAAAATAAATGATAATATTATTTCACATAAAAATATTATATTATAAACGCTACATCAAGAATTAAAGAGTTATTCCCTATTACCGCGATTTGGTACGAAAAAAAGACTACTTTAAAAACTCGTCGAAGAAGTAGTTGCTTTACGTCTTGTTAGTGTCATTTACAATGGAAGAATGGGACACATAACCTATGAATATGCAATATCAAAGAGTTGAGTGGGCGCGACTTTGGTAAAGCAGGGAATCAAAGTAAGGTAGTAAAGTGACTAAGAGAGCTATCTATCTTTGTTCATAGTTTTTAATGCACATTAAGAGACAGGAGCTTTTCGACAGTTTGTTGTAGCTCCGTGTTTGATACGTTGTAACGGTAATAACCGGCAAAAATTATAAGCGTTCAATGCCCAGCTAGATATTACAAACACAGCAAAAACATATCTAATTTCTATCTTTTCGTATTAGTAACATCGAAATATGTCTGCGTGTGTTAAATGCACTTGAAGTATATTATTACTTTAGAAGTTCTTTTTTATTATTATTACAAGTCAGTGTTTAATAATCCCACTTGGGAAATAATAGTGGTGGTGAAGTCCTAAATGGTTAATCGCACAATCTTAGCGTAACAAAAACTTATAATCTCTTGTATTGGAAATACCCAGATGGTAATCAGACAGAAAGACAGACTCCGATAAGTTATAGGTACCACTCCTTTGCTGTACGTGTTTCGAAAGACGAAGTAACTAGTTTTGTTCGATCGTGGTAAATATCGACAACGAAGTTGTTAAGACCCGCCGTCCGCCTGGTTGTTCGATAATAGAAAGCGGACGGGAGAAGTAAGGCATGTAGCTCTTGCGCATACTTTTCGAAATACATCTTATAAAATACAACATAAAAAAGAAAATATTAATATAACAAAATAAACAAATAATTGAGGGACAACAAAAGGGTTATTGCTATATAGCAGACAAACTTCCAGATAACCCAGAAAAGTAGAACTAAACAAAACGAGGAGAAAGATAAACGGGTAGGGTGCACTATAATAACAAAGGATAACAACTTATGCACTAAAAAGATAACAACTTCAGGCGATATATCAGTGACCTTAAATGAAAGGAGGAAGCGAAAGGGGTTATAAGAAAAAGAAATAATGTTCCACGTATAATCGACAGAGGTAAGGGGTTGCTAAGTTACCGACTTTAATGCCGAATATACCTAGAGGTTGGATAACCTGCGCATATGTTCGAGTTGACAAGATCGCCGTACCTGCACGACGTCGGCTAAATCGCGTGCAACGGTGCCGATGTAGTCCGTGGTAGTGAAGAGTAGCGGCTGTTCGAACTCCCAGCGGGCGCCCTTCCCACTCAACTCGATGTTGCGTCGCGTATCCTTGTACAAAGTGTGCCACATCTCCATGATCTTATGTCCGGCGCGCGCGAGTGACAGAACTTCTTCGTTACTTTTGCTAAAACAAAATTAAAGTAACACTGTAATTTGACCATTTTATACGTCTAATCAACAATTTACCAATACCTTCTATATATTAATACGTGACGGGAGTACTTGGTAGCCCTTTAAAAGCGCGCAAGTACGAGTGTGAGATTTGGCACAGTCGAAAGTTTAGTAGAATTTATGTATGTATGTATAAATAATACGTGTTACAAATATATAAAATTAAATCAAGTAAAACATTAATTGTTTATGTTCATACTGTCAATGACAAATACATAACAGTATGTTATTAAACATTAGCACAGGGTAAAGATTGTCGCCAAATAATTTCAAAATTTTGCTACATTATATAACACATAATTACTACTTAATTTTATATGATTACAAATGTTCCTTTTTTAAAAATATCTGTTTTAATGTACAGTTGAAAGTGAAATACAGCTTGCTGAATATACAAACGTATAATTTTGATTAATTACGGTAGAATTTCGACCACTAGGAGACCACTAGTATTTATTTAAAACGTTAGCTACCACACTAGGATTTTCTCAAAGATCTTGGAGTCGTTTTATAAACATAAATTATTAAACATAGAAACATCTACACCAAACAATTATTTTAGTTCATATAAGCACTTCCTCTGTGCAGTCACAACTATATACTTACCTAACATACGTAAAATAGATTTACAGTAATAGATACACTTGTGCTTTTTGCCGTCTGTAGTAACCACTTCATTGCATTGATATTCTACGTGATTAAGGCCACACTCTAGTTACTTTATGGCTACAGCCCGGATGGGTCGGCTCGACCATGGAAGGACCACTCTCTTACAGAATACTACTGTAAAATAGCAGCTTAATGCTACGGTGATTCGTATGGTGATCTTAGAGAACCGGACATCATTTTTACTGGTACTTTACACGAACAAGTAATTCACACAGAAACAGATGGATTGTGAGCTCGTTTGTAACCCTTATTATATACATTTTTTTTTTAATTTAATACTATAAATGTACAATCAGCGGCTTGAACCATCAGTCAATAATGTACAAATTGAAATTATAAGTTATTTTAGGTGTGGTTTTTGTTACATAGCTAAAATATTTACACAAAAATATAATACAGACACTTCATACGTACTCGAATAATTTATGAACATTGAGAAATCTCTCCAACTTATTGCATAGGGCCCAAGATATCCTAGCCATGAGAGGCACCATTGTTTCGTCTGTCCTGTAACCTTTGGATAGCACCCACACCATAAAAATGCTCTCCATCAGCTCCGGCATTATATCTATCACTTGCTGGAGGGGCGAATCGTCTTCTATCACCTTAATAAAGTACGAACAAATTAAGAATGTTTTTTTTTTAAAGAAATTTAAGAAATATAATGTATTTGCAGTGTCAAGTGTGAGGAATGAAATGACATGATACATTGAATAAAACTATTTTTACGGATTTTACCGCATTTAATTTACTTATTTTAATTGCCGACGTTTCGGGTGCTTTACAGTAACCCATAATCACGGGTCGGGAATTTTCTAAAGTAACATTTTACAATAAAAAATAACTTGTAGAATTACTCAGAAAGAAGAAAAAAAAATGAAATAAGTTTATTTAGTAACACATTATAGCAATTTGTTAGCAACAATAGCATATTATTTTAAATTTGCTAAATGGTTACGGAAAAGGTACCCAACCCAGCAGCAGTCTTGGTACTGAAAGAGCATTTTGACGCTGATCTTCCGTGGTTGATAATGAATATTTCACGAAAAATAAAAAATAACTTACAAAACTCATTTAAGAAACATTTAAGAAAGCGGTCACCTCATTCCCAGGGTTTTTATCAACCATGCACTTATTTATATTATAATAATAATAAATAGAGTTGGTTGTTTAATAAAAAATTAAGGTCTTGAATTCCAATTGATACATACATACATTAACTCTCACGCCTGTCACTAGAGGGGAAGGCAAACACTACGGACTTTTATTTGGCGGGATCCTGACTTTTCTAGCTTCTTTCACATCCCATATCTTCAATATATAACCACGTGTTCATTACGGAACACCTATACGCACCCGACGTACAAAAAACAAAACTACATACTGTCAAAGGTTTGTCTATTTTACACAATCCACACAGAGAAACCATATCCATTCACCGTTATGGGATTGTCCAGCTCTGCACTGAATAAAATGCAGCGCAATGAGCTTTTTCCACAAAATGAGAGGTAACTTGAAAACAATGTAATTCTTCAGATGGTGAAGTAATTCGTTGGCTACTCGCATATTTAGCAAAGATTTTTACATACATACATACATAACATAAACACTCACGCCTGTCACCCAGAGGGGTAGGCAGAGATTATGGACTTCCATTTGGCACGATCCTGACACACCTCTCTCGCTTCCTCCACATCCATATACCTACGCATACACGCTCGTCGGTTAAAGGTACTCTTGATTTGGCCCATTTTTAATATATCGCCAATTTGGTCGATTAACTTTCGCCTAGGGCGACCCTTCCCGACTATGCCGTTCACCTCTGCAACATAAATTTGCTTTGTCACTCTTTCCTCATTCATTCTTTCTACATTGCCAAACCACCGAAGCATTCCTTTCTTAATCCTGGTCACAATATCATCTTGCAAACCACACTCTTCTCTTATTAAGCAATTTCTCACTCTGTCATTCAGCTTCATCCCTAACATACTCCTTAATGACCGCATTTCTACAGCATTTATTCTACTCTCATGCTTCTTCTGCCACACCCAACTTTCACTACCATACATTAAAGTAGGTACTAACACAGCATTGTGAATTGCCATACGTGCCTTTTTGGACACATTCTGACTTTTTACAATAGAGTGTAGAGCCCCATTCACTCTATTTCCTGCATTCACTCGTCGTTCTATATCCTTATCATATCTACCATCCCCGCTAAATACACATCCCAAATATACAAACTCATCTACTTGCTCTACCAACTCCCCTTCTATTCTTATTTCACATATCTTTTTACTTTCTTCTCTTTCAAAAACCATAACTTTCGTCTTACTTGCGTTCACTTTCATTCCCTTTTCTTTTAATGTCCTGTTCATTAATGTAACCATCATTTGCAACTCGGCTGCCGACGACGCAAGTATGACTTGATCATCGGCGTACAAAATGCATTTGACGGTTAACTCACCCATTCTTAACCCGCATTCTTCTACTTTCAAATTTTCCAAAGATTTTTCTTCTATGATAACGTTGCCTCTATATTATATAAGTATAATCGCAGTAATCTCCTTTGACAAATCGGTTCGAGCTACGGAGACATATTACGATGAGGAGTTGATTATATCGTGGTTTAAGCCAGTACGAGTCCGACATAATCTCTTGGATGCCCTCACATCGGAATAATATGATCCATGAGTAAATGTTCACAAACAACAAAAAATATATTTTTTACGATTAGCTCCGTTAATCGCTGTTGTAAGTATTTTTTTTAAATAGTACTGAATTGACAAACGAACTTACAGTCCGCCTGGTGGTAAGTGGCTACTGCAGTCCATGGACACCTGCAGCCTAATTCAAACACAATATAAGCCTACAGATGCGCTGTCACCTAGAGGCCCAAGTTGGAATACCTCAAAGTCTGTAATTGTCATTGAGTTATATGTACTACGTACTAGAAAAGCAATTCCAAACAAAAATTGTGTCCTACTCTATGTCTTCGCGCATGCACGGGAGATAGTAGAGTCGCGCATGTGCGAAGACTTTAATTTGATATAAAATAAGATATTAATATAAAATGCTAATATAAAATATATACAAGAATTTAATGAATTTAATATAAAATACTCTTATTTTAATCTAAACAAACATATTTCTAAATAAAATGTAATAATAATAATTATCTTGTGGACTTTACAAATTTTCAATTCACGCAATATTTAGTTTAGTGTACGGATTGCAGTACAGTTCAGTTGAACAAAGTCAATGTTCAGAATGCGAAATCTAGTGCGTAGTACATGTATATCGATGGTAATTATACTGTCTCTCTATTACCTTTCAGACCGAAATACAAGTAAGACCGAAGTGCAAGCTCTGCTGTTTGACGGTAGACATATGGAAGAGGGGTACCACACTCTTCCAGACGTATTCAACTAGTAAATCAAAATCTATCAAGCAATAATTGTATTATTTAAAAAGTATGTAGGTACATATTATATTGACTCGTTTAATTTAGAAATTACTATGGTTATTATTCCTAGAATATGAAATTTGCTTAAACTAACTTGAACAAACAACTTACTTATTGCAGTGGAACTACAAAAACGGTAGGGTTAACATGAATCTCAATAATATTACACGAACATAACGGTTTAATATTTTAATATAACTCACGTTAAAAAAGCGTAACAGCGTTGAAAGGAACTTTAAGTTGTCACCAGCCAAATTATACTGTTCGATAAGTCTCTCCTTATAGTTTCTAAAGCTCTGCAAAAGAAATATAATTAATTAATTAATAACTCCGACTGATTAATTATCATTATAATATGTTAGGAAGCTTTAAAGTGTATGCCGCTAATCGTCAACATTCGGGAGTACTAAAATTTGAAACAGTTCTTTACACGATCACTTTAAAATCAAAAACTATAGATAAATAATCGCGTATCGAAAATGAATAAAGTGCCAGTAAGAAAAAACATAAAAAATAGCATGTGTTTTCTTACTGGAACGCTTTAAATATTAAAATAAAATATAGTTTCTCAGTAGTCTTAGAACAAAATTTGAACATTATAATACGAGTATGTAACATATTTATTTCTTATTTTTATCTTATTTATTATGATTGTTTTCTGTCAGGATATTTCAAAATAATTAAAAAAATATACATGGCAAAATGTACAGCTGTTAGAAATTAGTTTTGTGTTTACCTCCAAGTATGGCGAGTTTGCCATCTCTAATAAATTGAGTATCTTCACGACGAGTGGTTGTTTGAGTTGTTCCACTAGGAGAGATAGCTCGGCATCGCGCTCACGCCAGTACTTGTATTCGGCGACTGGACCGTCGCCTTCGCGGGTCTGTTCCATAAGGAAATAATCACCCTTTACTGAGTGAATAATTAAGTTAATAATAAAGTAACAAAGCAAAATGGAGAATTGTTGTATGTACAAAATATTTAAATCACGGTAGTTGCGGATCAATATCATCATCCGCATTAATAAATGCAGAGCTTCTGCGGATGCGGATGTGGCGGCACAATCTACCAATTTTTAGATTATTAAATAAAAAAGTAAAAATGCCGTTTCTATCATTTCCTCTGGCAGTTCAACTAACTACAAAAAAGTTATGAAAACTTAAGCACCGCATCCGAAATCAGACATTTTAATGGGACTCTGCATTAGTAGGTATTTATTTCACACTGAGATAATTTGTATTTTCATTAGGGAATACTGGTTATTGAAACCAAACGGAATCGCTAATACTATAAGTTCGTAACCATTATAGTTCTTGCTCAATGACAAAATATGAACCTTATATAATACGAGATAAGGTCTATTATGTTAACTTACCTTACCCAAACAGGCTGTAATAGTATTATCAATGTGTGTTTGCCACATATTGACAGCCTCTTCTAGTTGCGTCACAAGTTTTGGGTCTGTTATATCCACTTCAGTTTGTTCGTCCGCTAGTATCGGTATGTTCGGCATAGGCATATGAATTTCACCTTCTATGTGTTCTATGGTCCTAAAAGTATTTTTTTATAAATTATATTATATAATTAATCATTAAATGAGGTTGAAAGTTTATGTGTACATGAATACAGCGTTAAGTCTGTACATGAGTACAGAACATAGATATAGAGAATGGACTGAACGTTAGCCTCACAAAAGTGACCAATCTCTAGAAAGAGACAAAGCCAATGTACAGCCAATACCTGTCTCTTTCCTGCAAGCCCGATTGATCCACATCCCGCACATTCGCTATGTCTCTCTCGCACTTTTCGGTCTGTGTTCACTGCACAGCTGAATATGGAACGCACAGTCCATTCTCTCTATGTATATGGTACAGAATGTTTTGAGATATTTGTACATTTAAAACAAATCTGGTCGTTTTAGTAAATATGTCATATATATTCTCTAAAGATCTCTGTTTGCCGGTAGCTTGCGTCTCCTCTTCCTTTTAAAATGATCAAGATGAGCGGTGTTTGCCACATATGTCAAAATTGAGAATAGAGTGTTTTGCTTGTGGGTTTGGTTCATTTGGGTTTAGTTGTAAGCTATGAATTTTGTAAGAGATTTTTTATTGAACATGCTTCAGTTGTCTATGGTTTTATTCATTTTCATTTATTTTATTGATACTTTCTGTATTACGGGCCATATAAAAGACAATATAGTATAGTTTTTTTTATGCGGAATCTTTTTTTTACTTTAAAAAGGTGTTTGCCAAAATAATTTTTTTGATGTTTCATTTCTATGAGCATCCTGCCTGCGTAGGATAGTGAGATAGAGGAAGAGTATGCTTTGCCGTTTTGTTTATAGATATATTGAAATGTTAAGGTATTCATAATTGGAAAAATCAATAATAAAGTTACGTATAATACGCCAATTATAAAATTTCGTTACGTACGAATATACGTGGATGGAGGTGGCTCAAAACTATGCTTCGTAGCGTTTCTTGGGGTTGGGTTATGATGTGAATATGACTTGGAATAGGCTGTAATGATACGATGATGATATTTACATCTTAAAATTTACAGCAAAGCTCTTAACCACTTTATAGTTTGTTAAGAGCATAGCATATTTGACAACCAACTGTAGTTTAATGATTAAAGGTGCGAATTGCGATACTAAAAAATCTTGGGCTTAAGTTTGCTATTCTACTATGGTTGTGAGTCCCTCTGACCACAAACAACTTCAGTTGAGTTGAAATGGTTAACAGATATTCTAGTAATGGTTTTATTAGTGCTAGTATTTGTTTTAATTATAATGAATATTTTATCATTTAAATAAATAGTTAACGGACAGTAAACTTCTTCTTGACAGCAGAAATTAATAATATAATTAATAGAATCAGGCGTTACTTTGCGGAAATCCATTATATAAAAGCTTTTACAAAAATTTTACTTCGCAAATATCCGCGTTATAAAATAAAATGATGTGTCTTACCTAGTACGAAGAGCACCTCCCGCCCTCCCTCAATTGCGTGCACTATCCCCGTCACCACTAATCCCAGCACCGAGCAGCAAGAGCACCTCCCGTGCTCTTCGTACTAGGTAAGACACATCATTTTATTTTATAACGCGGATATTTGCGAAGTAAAATTTTTGTAAAAGCTTTTAGAAATTAATAAGCTGGTGATATCTACCCCGAACAGACAATTAGACAAAAAGGAAGCTTATGGGTTTCATTGCATTCATTTCACCGTTATTCAGTTATTTATTAACTAAGTTCGCCGGTTATTTTTTTCGTTGTCAGAGTATAATAATTTCCAGAACAGGACAAAAATCGAATCGAATTTATCCCGAGCGCAAATTTCTGGTTTCCTGATAATATTTCCGATTGTGCTTTCCGTATTCGGACAACCGAACGCACGCATTTCATATAAAGCATTATAAACAGTGCAGTGCACACGTTCGTAATATTTCCGGACGGAAACAATGTCTGACGTTCGTTTCAGCCGTTCGGAACTAAGAACGGTAGAAACTCAATGACTTCATCCAAAACCTACCCAAACGAAGCTCGAATACATTTTGTAAGTGCCGCCGTAAACACGAACGGAAATTTTCATTCGGAATATAGTTGCAGTGCCTAGAGAAGATTATCTTCGAGCCATTTTGTAACCGCTGCTTGATAAACACAACAACACATTAAAATACATATTAATATTACTCCAGTGGTTATTAATTTTACTAAATTAAAAAAATACCATTCCACTATTCCTACGAGCTCTCGAATGTCGCTTATGACTTCTTCGGCCGTTGATTTTTGTTTATCAGTGGCGTCACCCATGTTTTGTTGCGGTACCAATGTCAATAATTCCTATAAAAACATTACTAAATTATAAAATGGAATGTATGACAAGTCTCGGGCGTAGTAATTTAAATAGGATACGGATTACAATCTGTGAAGTTACCGCAACGTGTTACCGTGTGGTTGGCGGTGTAAGTATCCACTACCCTGTCTCGTGGATGTCGTAAAAAGCTATAGAGGAGAAACTTACCATACGAAACACAACACCATACGAAACAGAACAGCGTTAAGCTGCTATTTTACGTAGGTATTCTGTGAGAGCATGGCCCCACCACAATCGAGCCGACCCATTCGTGCTACAACTATACTACTAATAAGGCTGCAGCATAATAACTCTACCACAGTTTAAAGAGAGTCTAACACTCGTAACAGTTAGGAAAACACAGTTAAAAATGTACTTGTACAGAGCAACGGCGGGAGCCTTGCAGGCAGTAGGTGACGTGACCTTGTACAGTAAGCGCACTCCAGTAAGACTGCTGTACGTTACGTACTGCTGTCGACTGTATGTTTTTTTATGAGTGTTACCACATAACTTTTTACTGGGTGAACCGATTTCGATGATTCTATTTTATTTGAAAGCTGGTGCTTCACATGTGGTCCAATATAAATTTGACCAAGGTCTGACCAATATTTTTTGAGTTATTCTTAATAATTTAAATTGAAGTCGGCTGTACAAAATTTTTAATCTGCCGACTTCCAAAAAGCAGACAGTACTCAATTCCACTGATGTTTTTTTATATGTGTTACCTCATAACTTTTTACTGGGTGAACCGATTTCGATGATTCTTTTTTATTTGAAAGCTGGTACTTCTCGTGTGGTCCCATATGAATTTGATCAAGGTCTGACCAATAGTTTTTGAGTTATTCTTTATAGTTTATATTGAAGTCGGTTGTACTTACAAAATTTTAAATTTTAAATTATTTCTTGTAGAAACAAAAAATTATCTTGTACAATAAATGTTTTCAATTTATTAGTACGTACATAATGTTAATAAATGATAATGAGTATTGTAATATTCACAATTATTTTATTCCCAATTTCGTGACAACCCCCAGCATATTTACGATTACGGCGTAAATAGTAAACAACTACGCGGGAGGCGGCATCGCGTGACGCCGAAGGTGTTTCACAACTATTAGCTCTTTCAACTGTGGCTCATTCACGTATATTAATGACATTAAGATTAAAATTTCTAGGCGGTAGGAATACTTTTATGCCTAGGGGTAAGTCTGGGTAGGTACTACCCTCTTACCTATTTCTGTAGCCAAATAGCAGTGCCAAGTGCCGAGTACGATTACAGGCCATGAGATAATTCATCTTAGTCCTAATAGGATACAAGGAATTTGGCTGCCAAGTGACTATGGGCTGGAGTGGCCAATTACGATCAGGTAGATTGTAAGTTCGCTTGTCACAAATTCACCACAGTTTTCCTTAACCAATCACCAAAAATCAGACTATTACATATGATATATCTAATAATAGTTTGGGATTTCTTTATACTGCGCTACGCACTCTATAGTTGTTAAAACCTTACTAAAGTTGTACATGTGTAAACTAAAAATTGTTTATATATCTAAACGATTTTAAATCAAAAATATTTAAATTACCATGGGGGCATCATTCATATTGTACGGCCTTTGCACAAAAGCCTGAGATCCGGAGCGCATGCTTTTCATCCTGAAGCATACATATAAGTAAGAATTACAATCATAATATTAATAACAGATACAAAAGTGGGAAAGCTTGGGTTCAAGATTAATTTTATAAAATATATGTCAGAAGTTATATAATACGTAGTAGCTCAGATGGTTAGCGCTCGCTGTAAGTTTGACAGTACGCGAGCAACCCGGGTTGGATACCCGCCAGCACCAATGATATTGTTAATTGTAATTTTAAATGCTGATTTACCACGTGCTGAAGGAAACCATCGTGAGGAAACCGACTGGTTGTCTGAAAAATATGAAAAACAATGTTTCGAAGACAAGTGAAGTTCGCCAATACGCATTGGGGCAGCTCGGCGAACATTTCCTTGCCCTAAAGCCCTCTGAGAAATTAGAGGAGGCTTGTACCCAGCAGTGGAACGCATATAGGCTGTAAGTTTAACTTTAATATAATCGCTAGCTTAATTGCTTATAAAGAAAAACTTTAATTAAAAACCTTTCAGTCACAAAATTTTTAATATTTGCATCATATTTATGATCTAAATTAAGTACATGTGAAAAAAATATATAGACCTCCTTTCCGCGTTTTCACCTCTTGCAATATTTGACATCCTGCGATAATCGGATGGTCGAAGATAATTGACCTGAAACACAAAGTTATATTAAATAAACACATCCAACTAAATTCATAACCAGCAATGCGTGTAGAAAAGGCATACTGTGTCACTACAGAGTCAGCACATAGTCCGTCTTTTAGGGCTAAATATAATGTCGAGTCTTAACTGACAATGCCGGACAGTCAAAATACAAACGCAAGTTTCAGGCCATACCGTGTAGCGGCGGTGTAAGAACCCCCATTACCACATGTTGTCCCGTGGGTGTCGAAAGAGGCGACAAAGGGGAAACAAACCAAGAGATGAGTAGCGATCTCCTAATAAGAACTAAACATAAAAGAAAAATGCGATTGCCAACCTGCCAGTTAAACGTGGCAACTATGGCAAATATCCCCCCTATGAGCCGATCTTTGAAGGGAGGGCTGTGTTCAGTGATGGGCTTGGCTTAAACGGTAAGTTTTAAGTTAGACTGTTATATATAGCCCAAAACTGTCTAACTTAGGTATCGAATAACAGAATATTAAATACTAATACAAGCCAGTGTTTCTATTATTTCCTTCGCGTACGAAAATATAATAAAGCACATTAGCAGTTTACTAATAAAATGAAGCGTATATTCCGATATACACTTTGACCACTGTAAGGTGTGACGTCAATTCAGTATACTGTGAAGCTGTTCCTTTTTGGTCTGTTTAAAACGTAACGCAGTCCAGTATACTGTCATCACCATTTTTCGACACTGTTTTCAAATGAAAGTATTTATAATGTACACGTTTTCTGTTCAACAAGAAAAATTATTATTTGAATGTTGTTGCTTTTAAAACGTAATGTCTGAATTTATTAGAATAACAATATTAATTAATAATAATAACAATCATTCGTTAAAGCTGTTAAATCTTTAGGCGCTGTTATGTTTTTTGATCGAGTGATCCAAGTACTGAAAGCACCTTACCTCGAAATCGTAAACTGCTTACAGTACAAAAATGGCGGCGATTTATGACGTCATATATTTCGCTAGAGTACTGCGGCAGTATACTGGCAGTCCATAACGGAACGAATTTTTCACCAGTGAGAGCACTGAGCAGTGCTCGCAGTGTATATCGAAACATACCCGAAATATTTTCCTCGCAATTCTATGTTGAACTTTATTGTTTACAGTTTACACATACATTTAAGTTCTACAATAAACAATAATCATGCTTACCTGAGATGCTGTCTCATCCATCTTGTAGTGATCACCAGCGTAGGAAACCTGCCTCGATAGTATGCCAGGCGATGATTCCATATTCATTACTGTGACCTCACGGAATTGATGGCTAAATAGTGGTATGAACATCTGAAAATAGATTTTTATTACAACAAAGAAACAAGATAGACAATCTAACAGTCGTTAAGTGACTACTGCAGTCTATGGACACATGCAACAGACATCAAAAGGAAGTAACAAACGCGTTGTCACTTTTGAGTGATTAGATCCATTAACGCCTATTCCATTAACCACGAAATCGATGGATGCAGGTGTCTCACGACTTTGAGGTATTCCTTGAGAAGGCCTATGTTCAGTAGTGGACCTGTAATCATGTGATGAAAGCTGAGAGTACTCCGGGATAACTATTATCATCATCGAGACGTCAAACACCTCAGTTCCCCCCCTCGTGACCACGGAAGTAGTTGAATTAAACACGATAATATCACAAAAGTAGCTTTATATAACTGATTTGTCTCACTATTATATGTTTATTTATTTATTTATTCAACTAGTTAAGAGAGCTCTGATGGGGTTAGATAAGTTGCCTCACAGCTTGTAAATGGCTTTCCAGACATCAGTCAGGGGTACAGTCGTAGTCTATATAGTAGATTCCTATGTGGAAATAGTGCTACTATCTACTACATAGTCATCATCATCATCATCATGACAGCCTTTTACAAGTCCACACACACAACATAGGCCTCTCCCAAGAAATGCCACAAAGCAAGGTCCTGAGCCACCTGCATCCATCGACCTCCTGGACGTCCCACCAAGTTGTCACTCCATCTAGTGGCATCACGCAGGCGACGCGCGCCCTCCCACCCCGCTGCACCGAGATCGAATTCTGTTTTCTGCTTTTCTAGTGCTAGACGGATCCGTATCCTTGACACACTTCTTCACAGTAGTGCGCATAATTACGTTGACTAATAGCTTTTATAGGATAAGGGTGACAAACGAGCACACAGTCCACCTGATGGTAAGTGGTTGCTGCGGCCCATAGACATCTACATTTATCGTCTATTACAAATCAAAATGCAGATGCGTTGTCGCCCGTGAACTCTAAGATGGAATGCCTCATTTCCAGTAAAAAGGGCCTCCGGCCACCTGCACTCACTAAGCGAAACGCAGAGGTAAACCTCTACTTCACGCTGGTATTCTGTGAGGTCGTGGTACCACCCCGGTTCGAGCCGGCCCATCCGTGCGACAGCAAAAGCTGCCGCGTGGCTCTACCACTGTTTAAATTTTGTTGTTCTGTTTTCGTTTTCTAATCTAGTAGGTACGTTTACATCTCTTGCGATACGTACGCTTTTATTTGTGTTATTAGTGCTTGTATATACTTGTGATCGTAATGGCAAATATACATCCGAACTACACAGCAGCTGAATATGCGGACATGATCCCAATCTACGGAGAATGTCGTCAAAATGCCACTCTTGCGATAAGGACATATCACGAAAGATATGGCCAATTAAGACAATGCCCTACTCATCTTCGCACTATTTTAGGAGCTCTTCAGCGCATCCGCGAAAACCGGCCAGTGGATCCTGACTCCCCCAAAAATCGACCGCCTACACGACAAAATCCAATCCAGTTAACTGAAAATGTGATACAATATTTCGTAGACCAACCCAAAACTAGTCTCGGCCAGAGCGCTAGGCATTTTCAAGTCAATCACAGAACCGTCCATAGGATATTAAAGCGCGAAAAGTGGCACAGGTATTCACGGTGACAACATCATCGAAACAGTATTCATTGATGGGGCTTTGAACGGAGAAAGGTTTGTTAATCTACTAAATGATATGGTGTCAGAATACACAAACAACCTAAACGTCCATCGATACCAACTAATGTGGTACCAGTTAGATGGCGCGCCAGCACACTCTGTAACAACAGCCAGGTAGTGGCTAAATGACACGTTCGGTGCACAATGGATTGGTAGATTTGGACCTCGTACGTAGCCAGCAAGATCGCCAGACCTCACGCCACTCGATTTTTTTTCTGGGGGTGCATCAAAGACGATGTGTACGTGGAGAACGTGGATTTGATGGAACAATTACGCCATCGAATAATAAATTCGTTTGAGAAATTGAGGGAAATGGCTATAAGTGACAGTTTATTTTCAAATGTGCGGAAAACATGAAACGCCGTTTAGCTCTTTGTATCCGCCAACACGGTGGTCTCATTGAAAATAAGAAAATTTAAAATAAAGTCATGACAGTGGCATAATAGTGATTACAGGTATAACTAATAGTAACAAAAGAGGGTGATATAATAAGTCTTTGACTAAGCACCTCCGCTGTAAGTACTCTCCGGCGCCGCTCAGTTTCTTTGATAATAAGACGTCAAAGAATTGGACCGATTACGAGTAGGTGCAAGATGCGTTGCGCGGTTGCCAGCGCGCGAAGCGACGCGTTGCCGCTCTGAGTTAACATAAGCCAGCTAGGTAAGTAATTTCATGAATGAATCTTTGCAAGGTTGATCCCAATTTTAGTTACTTTTTTATTATTAAGTATCAAAATTAACATGATTAATAGGCTCCAACCCGTGTGTTAAATTAAAGTCACCATTGTAGCGGCCACTAACACTAACATAAATGAGGATAATTCGGGAAACATTTTGAAATAACATGATATTACTCACTTCTTTAAGTTGCATCCCCAAACTCATCAACACTTTACCCGATGCGCATCCTGTGAGTATATACTCTGGCATTTTAAGCTTGGTCACGTAATCGGTTTCTGCCATCGGCACGCCCTCTTGCGATTGCCGCAGGAAATAGATGTAGCGGCGGTTGCGATTTACCACTTGTGGAGTGAAGGCACCGAAGAGTGGCAAAAGTTTCGGATACTGAATTATACGTGGGACGGATCTCTGTAATATGCATTTACATTACATTATAATAATATTTCATGGAAACAAATCCATCACACAGAAATTGTGTGATGGATTTGTTTCCATGGGTGTTGGGGTGTTGTATACGTGGTAGAGCCATGTTGCAGCTTTTAGTAGTACAGTTGTAGCACGAATGGGTCGACCGGGGAATGACCACGCTCTCACAGAATACCAACGTAAAATAGCAGCTTAACGCTGCTGTGTTTCGTATGGTGAGTGTAGAGAACCGGAGACCCTTTTTACTGGAAACGAGGCATTCCATCTTAGTCCTCACGGGTGACAACGCATCTGCGTTTCAATTTGTAATCGAAGATAGATGTAGATGTCTATGGGCCACAGTAACCACTTACCATCAGGTGGATGGACTGTGTGCTCGTTTGTTACCCTTATCCTATAAAAAAAGTCATGGCTCTCGATAGATGGCGTAAACAAGATGTTTACGCCAGACGTGAAATACCCAGACCGGCGACACAGAATAAATAATACGTACAGAAGTTGCATTCTTTTAATGTTGAATAGTTGCCGACGTTTTTATAACCTACATAGTTATTATTAATTAGATAAATCATGACGCAAGCTAAATTAAACTATATCGCTGCGTGCTAGTGTCCGTATGACTTTGCATTTTTATTTGCATATTTACCACGATATATCGTCCGTAACGTAGAAGGGGACTACATCACGGACGATATTTTGTGGTTACCCAGGGCTTTAAAAAATATTAAAAAATACAATACGTATATATTACCTTTGATTATTTATTTAATTTACAACTGTTTAAATTACACATTTTTTAACCGTCTCTAAAGTAACTGCATTATTAAATTCAAGGGTGGAAAGTTCTAAATCTGACGTATAATTTTACATAAATACTCGGAGGGAAAACATAGACATGGAGTGTTAAAATTAATATTCGTTAATCATTTTATTAAATTGTTTGCTGGTTTTTCATTATTATGTATTCAAAATTTTTAATGAATGTATTTTCAATAGTATACATATAAATTGCACTAAAACTTGAACAACTATTTTATCCTATAATTGAATATAATTGTTTAGTATATTTAGTATAACGAAAATATGTGTGCAAGTGTATACTAAAATCTATTTAGGTAAACAGTGTTAAAAAACTTTGAAATTCACTAGGACGTCGCTCGCTTAACACTCGCTATCCCTAACTGCTTATATAACCTGGGTTTCCGCGCGATCGTGTGCATTTATATGATGCAAGTAGCAAGAGTGACAGAGGCCTGCCGGCGACGTGCAGCAAACGCAGCGATCGTCAATTCGCTTGCCAAGCATGATGATTGAGGCAAGAGAAGCCCATGTCCAGCAGTGGACTACTACGCGGTGATAAAGAAGAAGAAAATAATGTTATAATTTCATATATTTACACGTCATATATTAGACATTTAAGTATTTAATCGCGTTTAATTTAACATATTTTACTTATCTCCGAAACGTCGAATATTAAAAACAAGTAAAATACGAATTCGATTCCCGCCGGCACCAATGATATTGTTATTTGTAATTTAAGTGCTGATTTACCACGTGCTAGGGGTAAAAGAAATCATCGTAAGGAAACCGGCATGTGAAGTTCGCCAATACGCATTGTGGCAGCGCGGCGGACATTTCCTTTTCCCTAAAACACTCGGAAATGAAAGGAGGCCTGTGCGCAGCAGTGGGACGTATATAGGCTGTAATAACTTTATTTTTAAATTGCCAGTATGATAAATTAACGGCGATAAAACTCGTAAAATTAGTTTTATTCAAAGAAAAGAATATCTTTTGAACTATATTTTCATGGTAGAACGTTATCAGCTGTATTATGCAGTAACTGCAACATTAAAGGGTCGGCTCGGTCTGGGAATGACCACGCTCTTAAGGAATACAATGCAAAATACTTTTGCGTTTGTATGATATATGAGGAAAAGTGTAGAAATAAGGCATAGAAACATAAAAAAACAGGAGAAGTAGAAAGGGGACGTGTCTGTAAATGCGCGCTATGATCATAATTCTCAAGTTCTATTCTATGCAAATGACCGTATCCGCGAAGTAGTGCGCTTTCAAATCATGGAATCACGTACCATATGTATTTTACTATATTAATCATGAAAAACAACGAAGCGTAAAATATCTCTTGCTATTATCACGTTATTTTTGTTTTGGAATATCACAGCGTCTCTAATATTTTTGCAGTAAATACATTGCTCTTTAACCACTACTTAAATATGTCGCTAAGTGACTGAACTTGGAATGTAAATATCACAAAACGATATTTTATTTATGCAGATGCATCGCGTAGTACGGCCTCTGTATCTTGCGACGAATTAGTGATGTGCTCCACTAACATATCTATAACTATAGGAGTAAGTACAGTGGATCCTTGTAATCCGACATGCCTTTAACATGTAGGTACAATCGAGTCGCGTTATGAATCCGCCACAGAGAGAGGTGTCCTTCACGAATACGTGGACAAACAAGTTCGCGCCACCACGAACCTAGATCGACGCGTATTGTCTCAGTTGAAATGTGACTATGAATATGACTGTAGCGCCCTAGCGGGCATTCACTGTTTACTGTTTAGGTGTTAATTGTGCATCACTCACTTTTTCATTGTCTATTATTTTATGTAATTGGTTGGATTACAAGGTGGTACTCTTTTTCAAAAAGTTCCGGACTACCAGGGGGCCGTGGCAGTACTCAATACTCCGACAAATTTGATAATCCGACACCGCCTTGCCAAACGTTTGTCGGATTACTGCAACTTTCAACTTTAGTACGGTGCTTGGCAAACGCACGATGTGTTTGTAGGGATAATATTTGGTATATAATTGATTGTAATCCCTAAAGCGGTGCCAAGTTCACTGTCGGTATATCGAAGTGCTGAAGTGCTTGTACAGTAGGGCTATGATGGCTATCCGAGTACAGAACCAGAGTACGAAACCTATCCAATTGCAGAGAGGTGTAAAACAGGGTGACGTTATATCCCCGAAACTCTTCACCGCTGCATTGGAAGACGTTTTCAAGCTTCTGAACTGGAAAGGATACGGTATTAACATCAAGGGCGAGTACATCACTCACCTTCGATTTGCCGACGACATAGTCCTTATGGCAGAATCGCTGGAGGACCTAAGCACTATGCTCAATGACCTCAATAGTGTCTCCCAACGGATAGGTCTTAAGATGAACATGGACAAAACAAAGATTATGTTTAATATCCATGTCACACCTATGCCGGTAGTTGTTGGGATCTTCTCGTCAGACATACCTCAAAACCTTAAAACGAGACTGTACAACCAGTACGTGTTGCCAGTGATGACTTACGGATCTGAGACGTGGTCCTTCACTGCTGGCCGTATGAGGAAGCTCAAGGTCGCTCAGCGAGCTATGGAGAGGGCTATCCTCGGAGTTTCTCTGCGTGATAAACTTAGGAATGAGGATATCCGCAGTAGAACCAGAGTAACCGACATAGCCCAACGGATTAGTAAGCTGAAGTGGCAGTGGGCCGGCCATATAGCTCGAAGAACCGACAACCGATGGGGAAGAAAGGTTCTTGAGTGGCAGCCTCGTACCGGTAGGCGAAGTGTAGGGCGACCCCCCACGAGATGGAGTGACGACCTGGTAAGACATGCAGGAAGTCGATGGATGCAGGTGGCTCAGGACCGTGCTTTGTGGCATTCCTTGGGGGAGGCCTATGTTCAGCAGTGGACTTATGAAAGGCTGTAATGATGATGATGATGATGATGAATTGATTGTGTAGTACGTTCCCATTTATAAAATGCGGGTGTGTGCGGGTGTGTGCGCGTCTGCGTATCTATTGCTTTGACTGATCTGCATGTGTAGTAGTTGCCGCGTGGTAGGGGCCAACTGGAAACACCAGGTTCCGATGCATTTTCAACTACCGGGCATATCTCTTTCTTTATTATATCTATGAAAACAGGAGACCTTTTTTATCAGTAACAAAGCACTCCATTATAGCCCTCATGGATCTTAATGAGTTAGAATGTAGGTGTTTCAACACCAGATGGTCTGCATGTTCATTTATCACCCTTATCAGGATGTAAAAAATATTTTAAGTTTTACTTCTAAGCACAATAAAACTTTTTAATAAAAATATTTTCTATTTTTATATTGAGCCTTATTGCTTAGTTTCACATGATTATTAGAATCATAAAAATTTCGTGGAATACTGCTAATAAATGAAAAAAAAACAAGAATTAAATCTTTGTAGCTTAAGAAACTTGTAACAATAAGATAACCAGCTCACCACGACTGTGTAGAACTCAACAGTACCGTCAATTTCTGGATCTAAGTCTTCGGGTGCTGAAATATAATGATATAATTATATTTAAACAGTTTTTATACTGAAAATTGAATACTAGAAAAAAATGTTAGAAACAGCAATTACTTACGTGGTGGAAAGGCATACATTTCCTCAGTGCCCATGGCAAACTCTTCATCTTTCCCACGAAGGTCTATCGAAGTCTTAGTTTCGTCTTCGGTGTCTACGTAGTCGGTTAATGCAGCCGCTGTCTCTATTTCTGTGAGATCTGAAATTTTTCATTTTTCATTAATTGCTACAAGTTTATTAATTATATTAAAGTCAGTTGTGGGCTTGTAGGCCACCTTTTGGTATATAGTCACTGTCGAAAATAGACTGAAAATGCGTTCGCCTCTAAGGACAATCAAAAAAAAAAGCTTAGGATTACACCACACTAGGATTTTCTCCCGTACCATGGAGGCAGTTTACATACATAAAGTGCACAAGGACAAACATCCAGACTCGGAACAATTACTTGTAGGCCATATAAATACTTGTTCCGAAGAGAATTCGAACTCGCGGACCTCAGCGCCGTAACTTATCGCTAAGCTACTGCGCCGCGGAGCCCTCACAATAATGTTTTGTGCTGAAAATATAATCTTTTCTATACCCTACAAAGCTGAATACAACATACACGGCGACAGAAATAAGTACATTGGTGATAATATTTTTATATAAGAGAGAAATATGAACCAACAATAGGTACATCTGATGGTAAATAGCTACGACAGTCATTATGCACATATACATTATTCAGGTGTTTTCAATGGTAAATAGCTATTGTAGATACCTGAATAACGCATAATAACGCATTCACGAACGCACGCACGCACACAAGCGCGCACACACGCACGTACACACGCACGCATGGTGAATAAACAAATACTTCCGACAGCGGTAGAGGCCCATGTCCAGCAGTGGACTTATACAAGCTGATAAATAATTGTGAATAAAAGTGATGCTGTCTATTAATCTGTACATCATATGAATATAACATATTAAAACAAATTTAATAAACCTGGATTTCTACACAAATGTAATGTTCATAGAGAATTATTGATTATTATCAATTAAAAATAATTGAGAGTGAATAATGTATTTTAAAAATTATTAAATTTGAATGTTGTAATAGTAAAATAATAATAATAACCTTCGCCATCCCCGTCGTCCATATCTGAAATTGGAAAGAAATTATTAAACATTAAAATAATAATGAGGAGATGCCTGAACACAAGCTAGAGACTAGTACATATAATAAAATAATTTGACTGTATTATATGTAGTAGTTTTTCGAAAATATTTAATAAGAATTAATCACCAATTAAATTCAAAAGTAGATACTTGTGCCCTCACAATGAGGAGCAGTTAGGGGTTAAAGCCGTGGACAACAAAGAGCGTTAGCTCTTAATATACATAAAGAGTATCAATAAACTTATACTATTTTAAAGTTTCACGAACAGGAAAACTTTAATATTATGGGTGTTTCAATGTGTGAACAACAAAATATTACCAAATTGACTACGGTTGCGTTTTTACCAATGATAATTAGTCAGTGTAGTACCACATTTGTTATTACTGTATCATAATATGATATTATGTGTAATAAATACTAATAGTGTGTCAACTCCTTTGTTATATACCGCATTACCTACAAGGCTGTCTCGATGTCTAGTCGCTAAAAATATGCAAGGGTTGTCACACAAACATTTCCTTAGATAATAATATTATATTTTATCTGTATTCCTCGTAATAATTTATTTTTCTATACAAAGTTACAAAGATACAAATTATTAACTACTTTACAAAACTAGTTACGTTCATATATAAAACAGGTTAAAATTATACGTTGGTTCTGTCTATTTAACGGCCTCGTTGCAGATGTGCAGCCGACAAATATTTACGACATTTATTATTGGGTTTTTTAATTGTCTTTTGTTGAACTTAATGATATAATAAATTGTCATCCTTACATATAATTCAATTAAAAATCGTCATGGAAAGCAATCACATGGTTATTAGAATTCAATTTTACTTAAAGCATCATACAATCTTTTCCCAATATTTCAAAAGAATATCGAGTAATTTCGTGTTATTGGGTAAACACTAAACGCGGGCAACTGATTCCGTGTACGTGACGCTCCGTTGCGACTGGCTGCCGTGATCGAAATTTAGTCTGCAGGACATATGCAGTGGCATCCTTTCCATTTCGTTTCTAATTCATCATTTCGCATACTTCATCCATCTAGTCACATTGCTCGACATACATTTAAAGCAGTTATTGTTACTATATTTTTTTATAGTTTTTTTTTTTTTATAGGATAGGGTGACAAACGAGCGCACAGTCCACCTGATGGTAAGTGGTTGCTGTGGCCCATAGACATCTACATTTATCCTCGTTTGCGAATCAAAATGCAGATGCGTTGTCACCCGTGAAGACTAAGATGGAATGCCTCGTTTCCAGTAAAAAGGGTCTCCGGTTCTCTACACTCACCATACGAAACACAGCAGCTTTAAATTACTATTATACGCTGGTATTCTGTGAGAGCGTGGTCCTTCCCCGGTCGAGCCGACCCATTCATGCTACAACTATACTATTAATATAGCTGCAGCATGGCTCTACCACGTATATATATATAGTATGTATTGTATTGTATCACACTTGTATTAGATAGTCAAAATTTCCGTTACATTCGAATATAATATGCGCTATACCTTAGGAGAGATCTAAGGTATAGCGCATATTATACGAGTACGTAGGTCACTCAATGAATTTTGAGATTCTCAAAATTTTAAAATGGAACGCACCCGTGTTATATGTTTCTAAAAAGCAAATTTATTTAAAAATAGAACTCCATAAGCCAATTGCTCAATATTAAAAAAAAAGATAAATCTTAACCGTGAACATTTACGCGCTATGATATATTATGATTTTAAATTTGGTGTAACCGAACAATTAAGTTTACAACGGTTACAATCAGCATTAGGGACTCAGCTCCATCACACGCATCAATTTTTAGGTGATTTGCTTAATTAAAAAGGGGTAAAATTAAAAGATGACCAAAGAACCGGGGCCCCGCAAACAGCAGTAACGGCAGAAAATGTATGGACTACTGAAATGTTGGTGCGAGAAGACCAACGAATCACATATACGGACATCGAAAAGATTGTAGGCATTAAGTTCGGGGAGCATTCATACCATCCTACACCAACATATTGGAGTGAGGAAGCTTTGTTATCGATGGATCTCTCGTTTGCTCTCCGAAAGCGAAAAACAGACTCGTGTGGATTGGTGCCATGAAATGCGTCTACGTTTTGAAAACGGGGCATCTAGGCGTGTTTCAGAAATCGTTACTGATGGCGAGACATGGATCTATCAATATGATCCGGAAAATAAAAGGCAATCATCGGTATGGGTCTACTCAGTAGGACAGTTACCGACAAAACTGCAAAGACCTCGCAACGTCGGCAAAAAAATGGTGGCTAGATTTTTTTCGCGGAGCGGACATTTGTCGATGTCAATGCCGGAAAATTGTAGGTCAGTCAACTCTGAATGAAATACTACAGTTGCATTACCCAAAGCTTTTCAAGCTGTGCGGGAGAAAAGACCAAAGACCGGGCTTCGGGGAATCATGTTGCATCACGATAACGTCTCTTCACATACCTCCCTTAGAACAAAAGCATTTATTGAGGAATGTGGCGTTGAAACTCTAAGTCACCCACACTGCAGCCCTGACTTAGCTTCTTGTGATTTCTTTTTGTTCCCAAGAGTCAAAGAAAAAATAAAAGGCAAGTTTTTTTTTTCAAGAAACGATTTCCGACCTGTCAGATCAAGACTGGCAAAAGTGTTTTCAGAGTTGGTATAGGCGAATGGAACTTTGTATAGAGCATAATGGAGAATATTTTGAAAAGATGTAAAATATATGTAAAATATATATAAATATTAATAATATCCAGAATACTTTTTGTATATCTCAAAACTGATTGAGTGACCTACGTACTTAGTAGTGTTCGAAAACGAATTTAACTCTTTTTACCTTTAGAACTTTTAAAACTCTTCATACTTTTCGCACTCTTAGCGCTTTTAACGCTCTTTCCGCTCCTAGCGGCCTTCACTGCTTTTTTATCTAGCGCGTCTCCTTCAAATGTTTCATCTTGCGTTGGTTCTACTTCTGCTTGTTTCCCCTTTTTTCCTTTTCTCTTTTTTGTCGGCGGCGGTGGTGGAGGTGGCGGGGGTGGCACTATTCCTAAAACATTTATTTATAAAATGTTATCTTTTTCATAATACAAATTAACTGTATAATTAATATTACGACTATTTGTAAAAAAGAAGACTTTCTTAAACAAAAGTGAAACTTTTTTCCGGTTATTCCCTCTAGAGGTCGCCAGGAGGCCGGGTTGGTTTTCGGGTCTGCTTTGAGTTTAAAAAAAGTTGTTCCAACACTAGGATTTTCTGTTGTATCGTGAAGGTATATTACATACATTTCATACATAAACGTCACGCCTCTAATCACCAAGGGGGTAAACTGAGTCCAAAGAGCAGTAAGCCTCTAGGTCCACGTTGAGCCAAAAAATAACATATAACATAACATAACATAAACATAACATGTTATGTTATGTTATGTTACCAAAAAATGGGTATAGATGGAAAATCGTGGAAGAAATGATAGTTGGCTAGACCGTCGCCTACACAATTACAACTCCAATATCCTATTAGTCGCATTATACGACAATCTAGGCAAGTAACACTGTCGGCACATTCTTTTTTGTTACAAGTCCCACACCATCTGGGACCTATAAGTTCCAAAACAATATGGGAAGGAGTTTTTCATGTACATATACTGTACATATACAGACCCTGAACAATTTTTGTAGGTAGAGACAAATACATAAGTATAACGCGCGAAATTCGATTCAGTAGTATACATTACGATACGCATACCAACTGTGCCATCGAGCTTTCAACAACTGTTATTACAATAATGATCTCCTAATCTCACGCCGCCACTACGCGGCATAACTTTCTAAATTAAATTTTGAAGCTCCATGGCAATGAGTTACGGCGCTGAGGGTCAATCCTGCACAGAACAAATATTTGTATGGCCTACAAATAATTGTTCTATATGTATGTAAACTGCCTCCATGATACGGGAGTGATTTCTTTTAATATGGTGGACTCACTCCATTCTGTAAACTCCTTGTCTTCGTGTATCAGTTTGTCGACAATAATCTTGCAGATGTAAAATGTTTTCTTATCTAATGACAACTCGTTAGGCATCAACGACGCAGTAATGAACCTTGTTAACTTCTTCTTAACGTCACTCTCTTCTAGCATACTGTAGAACAAATCATCATCCTCCATCCCAATATATGTGAGAATTCGCTCTTTTAACCATTGTACTCTTGGATCTCTATGGAAATCCAATTCAATATCATCACTTTGCTCAGTATGATACTCAGTTTCATCTGATAAACTCTCAGACATCTGAAACATGCAGTGCAAAATTATATTAAAAACAAGTGTAGTTTTACATTTGAATATTGAAGTAACAAACAAGCTATATGCTGATGACTGTTGGTAACTTATGGTAAAAAAAAATGGACAACTGTAAGTAACATTAATCAAAGAAGACACCACAGATTGATTAAAATAAATCTAAAACTGCTTTTCTGCCTAGAAGTTAGTCTGATTAGGTACCACTCCTTATTATTTGTGTCAATAAATAGCAGTGTTTGCACCGTTACCTTTACAGCCTATTGAAGTCCACTGCTGGACATAGGCCTTCCCCCATAGATATTTTGCCACAGTTACCACGCTTGGCAAGCGGGTTAGCAACCGCAGTTTTTATTTTTAGTCATTATGAGAAAGATGATGATAAGACTTTATTATTATTTTTATTTAAATTTATATTGAAGTAACATATAATTACAGGTTCTTAGGCATTGCATCGTAACCTTCTTTGAAGTTGGCTGCAAGTGTTCATGGGCTGCAGTAGCCACAATAAGGTGGACTGTTGTCACTTCAATTTAACTTTGAACATAAATTATACATGTTTATTGGTAGCGTAAGAATTCGTCACTCCATTTCGTTTCATGGGTGACGTAAGAGACGAATATGGAAAATACCAGTTAGATGCAGCGTCAGAGGTGTGAGACTTCTGGTACTACAATTTCATACGTGCTAGAGCCATGCTGCAGCTATATTAATTGTATAGTTGTAGCACGAATGGGTCGGCTCGACCGGGGAAGGACCACGCTCTCACAAAATACCAGCGTAAAATAGCAGCTTAAAGCTGCGTAAAATAGCAGCTTAAACACGGTAGCATAAAGCTGCTATTTTACTGTGTTTCGTATGGTGAGTGTAGAGAACCGGAGACCGTTTTTATTGGAAAAGAGACATTCCATCTTAGTCCTCATGGCTGACAACGCATCTGCATTTTGATTCGCAAACAAGGATGTCTGTATAGATGTCTATGGGCCTCAGCAACCACTTACCATCAGGTGGTCTGTGTGCTCGTTTGTCACCCTTAACCAATAAAAAATACTGGAACTCCTCCTTAGAATGGCAGAGGCCAATGTGGACTTTCACAAGCTTATATAGAAGAAGGTTTACCTTGCAAGCTAAGGTGCTGTGAACTGGAGACTTTTTAATTCTAATAGAGATGGTTTTAATCCTTTCTACTTCATTTTATTAAAAAAATCCTGAAAACATAATTATAATACTTAACTGTTTATTTATAACTTAACAATCTTTTTAATATGATATCCTTGGACTATATAATCATTATAGCATATTTTATATATTATGCAAATACCATGACACTTTCCAGACATAACCTTGACACTTGAGTACACATGAGACACAATAAACTAAAAACTGACAATTCGTATTTTTGTAAAAATGTTGGCTCTGCTTATGATCCAAGTCCAGAATTTTTAAAATTAACATGTATGTAGTCTTTATATACTTGTAATAAAAACATAAGGAACAACTTAAGTGATTATATATGGAACTTGCAATACTACTCTAGAATTTCTTGTCTGAAGACATAAGAGAGCCAGGGAAGCACTGTTTTAAGAGGTCAGTACAGAATTACTTCTTGAAACAAAGTCATGTTGGACAATGTCAATTATGATAAAATGTACATAGATAATGCTTTATTATTTGCCATTTTAATATAATGAATTTTATTATTATATGTAACATGTATGTATATCTAAATATTTGTGTAGGGTTTTTTTATAGAATAAGCTTGAAAAAGCAGGTTACAGTCACCACAACTGATGGCAAGTGGATGCTGAGACCTATAGGCAGTATAAATATATATTAACATGTTTTTGATTATATATTTGCATACACTATATATATATATATATATATATATATATATATATATATATATATATATATATATATATATATATATATATATGTGTGTGTGTGTGTGTGTGTGTAATACATAGTATATTATAGTATACTTATACTAAATATTACATATATACTAGTATATAATATTGCCTACCACCTTAACTCTTGATCACGTGATCACCTTAACTGGCAGACAACTTACTTATTTATAAAAGCAATAACAATAAACTTTAAGAAAAGTTAAAATGTTTATTATGATGTTATGAGTTGTACTAACTATTAAAATAAAAGTAAAATTGAGACAAACAGATCTTTTGCCTGCAAATAGAAATTTAGTTTTTCATAAATTAATGTTACATCATTAAAAGTACAAACTAAAAAACTAAAAAACTTAAAAAACTTTTGAAACCTAGGATCACAGAGAACATGCATCACACTAGAGAATACGTTCCTGAACAATGGGTTGCAGTGTTAAGCTTGTTGCAAATGGTAGATATAATGTATATTTATATCCCAAAATGTATGTATATGTTAAGATGTCACACACTGTAGATATTGGAATAATTCTATATCAAAAATTATAACAAACAACCTTATAACTCTAGCAAAAAATTATATTACATACATTACACATAAAAGTAACCTATGCCTTGGTTACTAGATCATACTAATTTTAATATCTCCTTTAGAATCATGATTATGATAGGAATATATAAAAAAAATCACTCTCTCTCTCACTAAAACTGAAAAGTGTGTTTGAATGGATTCCTAGATGGTTCAAATTCTAATTTGGACCCGGTAGGTGGCACTGTTGTTGAGATCCAGAAATCCCCTGTGCAAAGCCAAGGCCGATCACTAGTCTTTATATATAAAAATTACATGTCATATTGTATGTCTGATATGAACTCCAAAGCTACAGAACTGATTTCAAAGAAATTTGCACACTCTGTGCAGTTTGGTCCAAGTTAGAGATAGGATGGTTTTTATCCTGATAGGTGACATTACGAATTTAAGGATTTTTTATATGATGGGCCGTCGAAAAGGGCAGAACAAAGTCTGCCTGGCCAGCTAGTTTTATATAAATGTTACAGTTCCAAGCTGTACACAGTATGCAGTACAGTTGCAAATAAACCTAGGTCTAGCTTCTGCAATTAGGTCAAGCCCATTATGGTGGTTTAATTTAGGTGTATCCTACATAATTTATAAATTGTCTAAAAATCTGCGGCTCAACCTACTGTTGCTGATATTACTTGATACATGCTTTCATATTTTTGACCAATTTTAAAGTACACCTAAGAAAAGCCAACTGCAATTGGCTTCACCTACTTATAAGCCGTTAAACCAAGGTTTATTCACACCTAAGCTTTTAGTCGTAACATAACAATATAATAATATAAAAGATAAAGATAAAAGATTATAATCTATAATGCAAATATCCAGACACTAGAGCAAAACAAAATTCAATCTTCATGTATTTCTTCTGTCTGGCTTTGACATGTTTTTAATTTCTAGTATAGCCTTTGATATTGTGGTCAGGTTATAATAATTATGTCAATGTCTGATCTTTAGTCTATCACATCTTCTAATTATGCTTCTCGGTGAGAATGGAGATGACAGTTTTAAGTTAAAATGTATCTAAAAACAAACCAAACACAACAACAGATATTGGACAAGACAAAACAGCACAAATGTTTTGTTAAACTGTAATATATTACATTTTACATTAATATATACTTGTAATGACTATCGCACACAGATCTGTAAAGACAGTGTGTAATGTGTATCACTATAGAAAAGCACGTTAAATATGAATTTTTGAAAATGGCAAATTCGTGACTATGCCATCGAAGTACCTTCTTAAACATAATTTCCTTAGAACACAAATCATAGAAATTAACAAAATTATCAATAAGATCAACGAAGTGATTAATAAGAACAGTTAGAACCAATTTTAACAAAAATGGTTACGTTAATTTACATAGCGAATCAAAAAATCAAATAATAGCATACCTACCCACCAAAACAAAAAATTAGAACCTTCTACACATATTATAAAAACTATAGATAGGGATAAGCCAAAGACTATATTCTTACTACGTTTTAAGATAGGTTACGACGCCACTAACAGTATCTAAGAGTTGTTTACAAACAAAAAACAAGCAAGTATCAATAACAACAAACAAAGCTGTCATGGCAACGGAAATGTTACCACCTTGCAGAAAAATTTATCACTAATTATGGTCTGAAATTTTTCCAGATTTTGGGAAATTTTTAACTAAAAAAAATCCCTAGAATTCACAAAATTACCGTAAAGTGGGACTATTTTGTAAGTTTTTTCTAAAAATCAGTCTCGTACACAAAAACTACTAAGGTTATGAGCTTAAACAATTTCTTTACGACAAATCTCATTAATATCTTCCAGAGAAATGTATTTATGTATTTTTTTTCAAAAGTGGAGATATATCGATTTAAACATGTCTTGAGATATTTGGACCAAGAGAAGAATATATGGTATTTCATTATAACATATGTTTTGAGTTTAATTTTAAGTAAAAAGCCAAATATTTAGTATCGTTATATTTATTATGAAAAGGGCGAAGCGCCACTTAGGGCTATTTGGAACCTAAAGTAATTATCTTCTAACAATTATATAAGAATTAAAGACAATATTTGGAACAATTAAGGGTAAGCTAAAAATAAACTTAAACAATGAGATCTTTATAAAATATTAAAAAGGTAAAAATATTAAATAAAAAACATTAAAAATTAAACATTTAGCAAGGAATAAACCACAATACAAATCTAGGTAACGTAAGTTAACTTATGAAAACTACTGCTTTGACAATAACACTGATTTTACTTACGAAGTTATTAAAAGTCAATCAGAAATATAATAAATCTTCATCATTAAACAAGATAAATTCATTATTTTCATTAATTTGCAACAAATCTACTTGCTTTACATTATATCATCAGGTATGTAATCTACATCTAAACGTTTTGATTTCTTAAATAAGATATCACCTTTTTTAGAAATGGTTTTGTAGTAGGATATTTCGTATTTTTTTTTTCAATTCGATCATTAATGGTAGTAATTAAGCCGATGTAAAAGCGCG